AATTCTTCAATTTTATTCTCCAATTTGATGATGCAAGCGGAATTATTTTTATTGTTATTTAAATTATTTAATTCTATCCTGTTTACAACATCTTCAAAGCTTTTATATTGTGAATTAATTTTTTCAAGCGTGTCTTTTTGTAGTTTCTGGAAAGATTGTTCCATAGTGTTGAATTTATGGATCATTTCTTTGTTATTATTTTGTATATCTTCCCATTTTTCTTCTACTCTGGTTATTACTCGAGTGGTTTGATCTCCTAATTTCTCAAGCATTTCTGGCATTTCTTTATGTAATAATTCAAGACCAGTTTCCATGATCATAACTTTATCTCTGATGTAAGTAAAATTATTATCTTCTTCATCAGCTCTTTTATCCCAGCTGCCCTCAATTTTACGGCACAATTTCTTCATATCAGTGGTAATTTTTCTGTTATTTCTTAAGGTATGTTGTACTAAAAAATTCATGTTCTCAGTAAACATATTAACAGCTCTGCGTAGAGAAATTTCTATTGGGATATGTTCATGGGGGACTTGAGGCGTAGAGTAATCACTAGATAATAATTTTGATTTCCTACTAGTAGAATCACTATCAGAACTATCAGGAATTTTTTCACGCGCAGGTGTAGGGGAAGTATTTAAGGCTCCTCTTCCATGAAGCGGTGTTGGCGGTTGATTTTGCCTTTCTCTAGGTGTTGATAAGTCCCTTGAAGAGACCTCCCAAGGCGTACCATCTCTTCGTAGATTTGGCTGCGCCATTGAGTGTTCCTCCCCGTATTCCTTGGGTGTCTTGAATGGGTATTCCTCCCTCTGCGACTCAGGGGTCTCATTGATCCTTCTTGAAGGTCCGGCGCTTCTCGTGGTTGAAGGAGACTCTCTGCCGTCACGTGTAATGGGTTCCAACCCTTGGTTCTTTTGAGGGTCGTCGTCATTCCTCTTAAGTCTATCATCGCTTGGAAATCCTCCCGGCAATACTTTAGATGAGCCCTGATGGCCGAGTAGCTGCTGCGGTTGCGCACATCCTTCAACCATTCCTTGTTGGTCTTCATCCTGTAGTAGTAGCGCTCGAATTTCTCCTCCTTGGGAACTGTTAGTAGGAGATGTTAGTTTCTTTTTCGACGCGTAAATTATTTTATCCTTATTCTTTGGTAAAACTGACGCTGGTGGAAATCCTCTCTGGGATGGTGGAGCGTCTCTGGTCCTTCCATTATAACCTCTAAGTCTAAGAGAAGGTGGAGACATGGTAAAAGAAAACAGGTCTTAGTAGGAAAATTTAACCCGGTGAAAATTGATAATAAAAAATATGTAGAGGTGTTAAATTTACCTGAGGATTTATCAGAGGCAACTACTGAGGCTTCCCTATTAGTTGTTTGAGGAGATTGGGCTCTATTGTCTCTTGGCGCAGTGTTTTTGTCGTGTACTTCCAAGTTTTGGATGTTAGCGCTAAGGGTGCTGTTGACGGTGGACACTGTTACACAACCAATTTTTGAGCTTTTTCAGAAATTTTTTGTTCGAGAGATAAGTTCAGAAGCTAAGGAACACGCTCAACTTTTCAGAATGAAATATTTCAAGGTACTTCTGGTCGAAAACTTGAGAGGTCGGTGTTTGCTACTGAAACTGGGTGAAGGAGTTGAGTGAGGATGGAAAGGAAGGCGGCGCTGGATACGTCTTATAAAGGCGATGAGTTCTGTATCTTGTTTGTCGATGTAGCTCAAATAATGAAGGAGCTACACTCTCTCAAAGATCAGGAAAGATCACTTTCGACTATTTTAGTAGGAGGGGTGATGTACTAGGCGGGAGTGGTAGTACGGAAGATCTGTATGTATGTAGATCCTTGCAGATCCTGGCAAATCCGGGGTGTATTGAGTTGTAACTGTGTAATACGGCCTGCAGAACCTTATGTACACGTGAGATAACTCTATTTTTAGACTTCGACCAGGTGTATTAGACTTCGACCAGGTACTAATCCCTCGAGATGATGGGTAAATGAGACTAGATCCGCTCACGCCGTAGGAATGGTAGACTTTCAAGGCTCAGGAAAAAAACCTAGTAGTGTAAACAGGGTACGGCGGATCGAATGGTCGACTCAGAATGTTTGTATCTGTTATGGTTCTCTCTCCGTGATAGTGTAAAGTGACTCAGACTGAAAAAATAAGACTTTTTGAAGGGACACGGACGTATTTTTTAAGGGTTTTTAATTTTTTCTGTGTGGATGAATCAAATGGAAATATAATGAAATATTTTTGTGATTTTTGTGGCACGAGATGAGTGAAACAGATAGCGCAAGAATTTTATTTTTGTGTTTTTTTTGGTGTTTTTATTTCTGATACTAAGGAAATGAGATGAGATGAGATAAAAACAAGGCAAATCTATTCTAAATCCGTGAGGTCTATGATTATAGAGTTGGGTTGAGGCGGAGAACAAGCAGTGAAAGGTGGAAGAGTGTAGTAGCGGACAGTTCTAGACAAGATGTTAGTAGGAAGAGTTCTATATTTAGGGGTTTCTTCTAACGCTGTAAAGAAGTTATTCCTGTTTGTTTCTACTGTTTTTTCTATGATAGACTCGTCTTCTTCTACAAGATTTATGAGGATGTATTCAGGGGAATAGGTAGAATGAAGGGTACAATGGTAGCGCTTAGTTTCTATGTAGTTCCAGAATCTATCTTCTGCTTCTGTTACTTTCACTTTTTCTACTCTTTCAATAACTGTAATGTTATCCGGGTGGTTGTGGTAATATCTACTAGCTTCTTCTGCAATTGTACTATCTATTTGTCTAATAAATGGCAAAACTTCCGGCATTTGTTCTTCAGAAGGCCATTGTTAGTAGTAAATGTTTTGGGGACAAAAGGTAAAAGAAGCACGGAGATATGTTAGTCACGGAATTCCAATTAGGCCAGACCCCCAATTGTCAGCCTCTGGGTAACTAACCTGAGTATTTAATAGTAAAAAGGTTGTTACTATGAGTTGACTGAAGTTTTGAGCGTGGTGAGTGTTAGGTAGTGGGTGATTAATACCAGTCCTGTAAAGAGGAGGTTTCACTCTATCAGTATGGTCTTTACTGAGAGGCTTGCTATCAACAGCGCATCCGGATCAATACAAGGTATTAATAGGCATCCAGGGTACTAAGACTCACCTGGGATTGATTTGGTTATTCCCCAAAGGGAATGGGCTAACAATACTTATTAAGCTTTAACAAAATTAGTTGAAGATTAACAGGTATTGTTGATGGGAATATTCAGCAAGGCTATGAATACTGTGGATAAGTTGAGTAAGAGTACTGAAGCTTAAGAACAATAAATGTAGACAAGATTTATGTTGGTTACGTGTACTGTATCAATATAAATGTTAACTGGTTTAACTGGTGTCTGAATATTCTGGGGATTAATCAGTGGAAGTGGCACGGATTATAAGTTCCAGAATACTGAAGGGGGAAAGAATGAGCGCTCAGAATCAAGGGAGCTTTGGCCAGGAGAATGAGCACATCAATTGAGTGACTGATCATTATTTGTCATGATCTGTAAGTGACATCATAATTGTGTACTAGTTGATCAATGTACTAGTAGCTCTTGATGCGTGTACTTAACAGATCCTCTAATAATGTAGTCATAATTGTGATCAGTGCATGTATTGAATGTATTAATTCTATTGACACTTAATACTTATTATTTAATACATGTACATATTTATTTGTAATAATATTTGACCGTGAAAATACTGTAGCAGAGGGATAACTTGTGGTACAGGTATTTCACGGACAAGGGAGTGAAAGGTAAGTGATAATTACTTATGTAGAACACAGGTATGTATTTAATAGATAAGTAATTAACAGATAAGATAACTGTAAGATAAATAAGATAAGTTAATAATAAAGATAAGATAACAAGAGGTAAAGGTAATCAACATTATGGATAAGTACTTATGTACATAAGTACAGGTGTTGCAGTTACTTGGTACATGAAAGGTACTGTGACATGTACTCTGTGGCTGACAGTTCTGCGTAACTTCTGATCCAGTAGAGATATGAAGGTGGTTCCAGTGAGTGACTAGGGGTTAAATTGGCCTTAGATTCCATTTCTGATGTCCATTTGTCCATATATTGAGTCCTTTATTGATAAATAATGAAATTTTGAATTTTTCTCCCTTCATACACAGGAATAATGACCACACCGGGCCTCTTCGCCTTAGTCCTAGCTTTGTTCTTCCGTTTGTCCATGTATTCTTGGAGCTCCAGAGGTTTTATCTTGTTGTTCTTGGAATAAAAAGCCAACGCCATACCTCTACTTACTGATATTGGGTGGAGATTGTGTCTCCTAGTGGTGACATAGTCTCTACCAAAGCTGAACGTACGCTCTACGTCAACCGTGGTTGCTATTCAAATAGTCAGAAGCAATGATCAGCATTCTGATAATGATTTTGAGATAACTAAATGTGAGTCTTACCTGGACAAATCAGGACATCAAGGGCCATCTGTGCAAGGCCGTGATGTGGATTTCCACTCCGTTTTTGCTCCGTCCACCACTTGAGGGCATCTATTGGTTGCTGATCATCCAAATACAGGGGACCAGTGAGCCATCTGTCAATGGGGTCACTTGAGGGGGCCGCAGATCAAGCGTCAGCAGCATCACCTAAACCTGCCAGAACTCCAGTTTGCGCCTGGTGGAGAATTTGATCAGTTGATTGAAACAGAAACGGGAGAATTGAGATGAAATTACCCTTGCTGGTCCCTTTCCTGGTGGCCTCGGGGCCGATTCGGTGTGTCGAGGTTTGTACCACTTATTGTACATGTCGCGGGTGAGTTTGATTGCCTCATCGATCCATTCCTTTGGCCATTTGGCAAGCTTGAAGTATTCGTCCTTGAAAGAGGGATGGAGAACTGGAAATTCATAGATAATATTTGTTAGTTGCCAGGAATGTCACATGTAATCATATGAAAGCTGAAGAAAAGACCTACCCATTGCAATTCTGTATAACGGGGAGCAGTCAGTGAGGGAGTAATACTTATTTGTTATGCGAAGCCCCGCACGACAAGCATTTCGTAAGGCTGGAGGGTGATTTTTTCGGGATCCTGATTTGCAATCACGGCGGCGAGGTTTGATGTGATTTGATCGATCATCACAACAACATCCGCAATCCGGGCAGAGGCTTTGGTTGACAATTGGAGCGTGATTTCGTAAAACGGGAGCAAAAGTTGAACCAAGTCGGTGGCTAAGTCAAAGTCTTCTTGTTGAACATGATAGTTACGGGGCATGCCGAACTGCTTGTCGCGCTGCCACATGACACTTGCATGAATAACATTAACAGGTCAGTTTTGTTGAATATTGGGGATCTCTGATGATAATGAGACTTACATGGCCTCCTCACATCGGACAATACTGGAAATTTGCAGGTAAGTCAAGTTCCACCGAGTCGGGACATCACGCTTGATGGTTTGGGGTTTCTTGCATTGAGTTTCTTCACAAATCTCAATGAATCTTGCCTTTGAGTTTGGGGACTTCCGAAGTTTCATGGCAATTTGACGGAACTGCAAAAATTTGACACAATAATTTTGATTGTATGTCAGAGTGACAGAGTTGGAGGAAACATGCTTGATTAGATAATTAGATAAAAAAGTAACAAACCAACCTTCGCAAGCGTTTGGCAACACGAGTCAGAAGTATAAATATCTGTCAGCCTCTGGGTAACTAACCTGAGTGTTGAGTGGTGAAAAGGTTGTTACTAGGAGTTGACTGAGTGTTTTGAGCGTGGTGAGCGTTAGGTAGTGGGTGATTAATACCAGTCCTGTAATGAGGAGGTTTCACTCTATCAGTATGGTCTTTACTGAGAGGCTTGCTATCAACAGCGCATCCGGATCAATACTAGGTATTAATAGGCATCCAGGGTACTAAGACTCATGACCTGGGATTGATTTGGTTATTCCCAAAAGGGAATGGGCTAACAATACTTATTAAGCTTTAACAAAATTAGTTGAAGATTAACAGGTATTGTTAATGGGAATATTCAGCAAGGCTATGAATACTGTGGATAAGTTGAGTAAGAGTACTGAAGCTTAAGAACAATAAAGGTAGACAAGATTTATGTTGGTTACGTGTACTGTATCAATATAAATGTTAACTGGTTTAACTGGTGTCTGAATATTCTGGGGATTAATCAGTGAAGGGGGCACGGATTATAAGTTCCAGAATATTTGAAAAGGGAAGAATGAGCGCTCAGAATCAAGGGATCTTTGGCCAGGAGACTGAGCACATCAAATTGAGTGACTGATCATTATTTGTCATGATCTGTAAGTGACATCATAATTGTGTACTAGTTGATCAATGTACTAGTAGCTCTTGATGTGTACACTTGACAGATCTTCTAATAATGCAGTCATAATTGTGATCTGTACATGTATTGAATGTATTAATTCTATTGTTAATTGTTAAACAACATTCAATACTTGTACATATTTATTTGTAATGATATTTGACCGTGAAAATACTGTAGAGCAGGGATAACTTGTGGTACAGGTATTTCACGGACAAGGGAGTGAAAGGTAAGTGATATTTATTTATGTATAAAGCAGATATGTATTTAATAGATAAGTAATTGATTAATAAAATAAATATAAGATAAGATAAGATAAAGTAAGTTAGTGATAAGATAACAAGAGGTGAAGGTAAACAACATTATGGATAAGTACTTATGTACATAAGTACAGGTGTTGCAGTTACTTGGTACATGAAAGGTACTGTGACATGTACTCTGTGGCTGACAATATCCATGGAGTCTTCTCGTTCGATATCTTCAATGTCGGCCAGAGTGAGATCGTCGTCGGCTCCGAGATCTGGATCGTCATTTCCTTCTGGTTTTGTGTGGTTGTCTTGATCATCATTCAAGTCACTGTGCTCTTTCACTTCATTGAATCTACAAACCTCCAGGTGTTATTTAGCTTCTAGTGTCATAATGAGATGCTTGAAGTTGAAACAGGCTAAAATCTTACCTCTCAATGAGTTGATCCTCTGCCTCTTCTTCATCAAAGTCATCAAACTCTGCTGTGCGACCGTCGGATTTCTTACGAGTGAATGGTCGAAGTATTGCCTTGACGATAAGGTTGACAATATGTGCAAAGCATCTTATCCACTGTGCCTCACCCTTGAATCGTTTCCAATCCAGTGTTTCCAACTCCGCAATAATTGTCTTGTTGTTGCTTGCATTGTCGGAAACAATACCACAGATCTAATCAGAGTTGAGGAAATGGGTCAGATGACAGACAATCCAGGGACTAAAAGCTGGGTTCACATTCAAAAGAGGGGTGGGGGACACAAAAAAATTTACGTACCCGATCTTCTAACCCAAACTTCTCCACAATATATCTTACCATGCGAGCCAGGTATTCTCCAGTGTGGCTTTCGTCAAGCTGCACAAAGTCCAGGGGCATCGCATCCAAATTTTCATTCCCAGTGCCATCGTCCACAAGTCGATATACCACCGTGCCAATAATATCGTATCCATTTGGCGATTGCCACGCATCCACACCCAAGCAAAGCGCGCCCTCATGCATCTGAATAGCCCAAAAAAAGAGTTTAAACTGCTGTCAGTATCAGGTAATCAGGAATGCTTGATGGAAAGAAGATATTAGCCAGCCAAAACTAAAAGTCATTCACTCACCTTTAACTCCTCACATAGCTTCTCCTGAACACATAAATAGAGCATATGAATACCTTGGGAAATCATCTTTCGACTGGGAAGGTGCTTCAAGATTGTCGGATGAAGAAGTCTCTTCAGGCTGGTTTCTTCCAAAGCTGAAAATGGCTTTGCCGACTCGGCACACCAGAGGACACATCTTTGCAAAACCTGAGGAAATGTGTCAGTTGAGGATTAATAATTATCCAAAAAGCAAATGCAAAAAGCTCTAACCTCCCGTGGGTCAATTTCACCTGTTCCTGATATGCCAAGTGATCCAAGGGTCTTTTGATCTGAGGGTTTGTTCGCCTTCTTTGCGCATCAAGCCATGTGTGAGAGCAGATTGACGCTGTGAGAACTCCTTTGGGATGGATGGCAGTCCTGTGAGGGGGAAATAGCAGATGAGATATATCACGTATGTAATGATCCACTACAACTGTTACGGCTGGTTTGAAAGACCTGCCCCTCTATTGTACTACACAAGAGTTAACACAACAATTTATTTATTGTTGTGGCAAAAACTGATGATAGAGAAAACTATGTGTAGTAGTCTCTTATCAAACCTAGATCAACGTGGATTCAGCAGACTATTTGAGTGGAAATGTTGAGTAAGAGATGATTTTTTTTTCTGTTTATATGTTTATGTATTTTGGAAAATGATTGACGTATGTACTGATGATGAATGTGAATTTATGAGATGATATTGTGGAAAAAATGTGACTATTGAAAGTGTCTTTCCCTTCCTCCTTGAATCTTAGTCAAGAGCACAATGGTTTAAGATCACTGTCTCTTGTTTAAGATCACAAGTTGTACTGATTGCTACTTTCTTTTTCCTATGCTTCTCAAATGGCTGAATGATCTCAATGGAGCACTTGATTAAGATCACACTGGTTAATGTATGGATTGATTGCTCTGTTCTGTCTGGTTGATGATCAGATGAGATGATGAAAAATTGGAATGAGGGGGGGAAAGCCCCTCCTTAAATAGTCTATTTTACAACCCGGCTGACTTGTGGTTCTAGCCCTAACCTATAATCTATAAATGGCCAACTTGTGGTTCTAGCCCTAACCTATAACCTATAATTTATAAATGGCCAGCTTGTGGTTCTAACCCTAACCTATAACAAATATGCATAAAATCCGGCCAAATTGTGGTTTTGCTATCTATACAAGATTCTCTGTGTACCTACAAACAATGTGGCCAACTTGTGGTTACCCTATGCAATGAATATTGAATATGTAAACAAACTAAGGCCAACTTGTGGTTTGCATTATGCAATAAGCAATTTGTATGCAAATAAAACTTAAATCCCAAATAACTTTTGACTGAGTGGAGCTAGCCTAGTGGTTCCAGTGAGTGACTATAGGTTAAATGCCCCGTAGAATGTGATTATGCCATAATACGCCTGAGAATATATGCCCTTCTAAATATTGAACTGTGACTTTATGCAATTTGATACTTGAAACACAATTGGCATACTACATCCTCCCCCAACTTAATGCTGTCCGCAGCATTCCTGTTTCAAGTATCAAATTTTTCCAGACTCCAGGAGTACCCCAATTTTGGACATATGCACCACAATTACCCATTTAATAGACAAGCTCCACCCCCTCTTATGCCATATAATTGAACCTTGCAACCCTTCCATGACCAGTCTTTACCAAGCGCCTTACACACCAATTCCTAAATATCACTGATCCCATCAGATGTACCCAAAAGAAACATTTCCCTTGATATCCTATCTGGTCCTAAAAACTCCTTCTTGATCCATTGTCTGTCTGATTTGAATTGTAGTTCTGCTCTGAGTTTTCACTAAACTGGTTTTCATATATCCAACTGATTTCTTCTCAAGTAATTCATCCAACAGTAGTATCATCTATCCCCTTTAGAACTCCTTGTCCTCCCCCACGCCTGCCACGTCCAAATCAAAGGCACCTAATGAATCTATTTCAATCTATTTCATCCCATTGGTCCAAGGAAAAGGCCAGTGGTTGATGTATTTGAAAGAGGCCCCTCAAAAATCTCCATATGCTGAGTTCCATGGTTGTCCGAAACACCTTCAAAACACCTTTCCCCCAGTGGAATACTCCTAAGCCTCCTTCAAATAATCCCCAGTTTACCAAAAAAGGTTTTAGCCATACTACTGTTTGAATCATTACCCAAAAAAAGCCCATGTCTCCAATCTCCACCTGGTTAGTGCTTTCTCTTCTGTCCCCTATCCTTCAAATCGATGGTTCATGTGATCCGGTAGTTCAAATTATTCAGGAATATTTGGTGGTAATTCTATTTCTTGTAAATCCTGTCCTTTCTTGCCCCAAATTTCATTCACATTGATTCTTCTCTTGAAATCACCGAAGGTTCCACTGTTAGATTGTACAGCATTTTTGTGAATCCAGTTGGTTTTCTCCACATTAATTTCAGATTAAGGTCATGATGGACCCCGGTTTCCAGTTATTTCCGCCTTTTTACAATACTTCCAGTTTTGGGTCATGAGGGAACATTGTCTTTTCCATTTCCGACCATTTCTAGATTTCAGTTTAAGGTCATGAGGGACCCCAGGTTGGTTGATTTTTCAGTTTAAGGTCCTGAAGGACCCCCTTCAGATCGGTTTATTTTTCATTTTAAGGTCATGAAGGACCCCAGGTTGGTTGATATATCAGTTTAAGGTCATGAAGGACCCCAGATTGATTGATTTTTCAGTTTAAGGTCATGAAGGACCCCGGTATCCAGTTACTTCTGCTTTTTTTTCATATTTTCAGTTTAAGGTCATGAGAGACCACCTTGAGATTGTTTGATTTTTCAGTTTAAGGTCATGAAGGACCCCCTTTTTTTTAGACTGTTTGATTTTCAGTTTAAGGTCATGAAGGACCCCTTTTTTTTAGGCTGTTTGATTTTCAGTTTAAGGTCATGAAGGACCCCTTTTTTTTTTTTGCAGACCCTTTATACTTTAATATCCCCGGCACACAGTATGCATCCAATTTTTATTCTTCTGGGGCCAAGCTGACTTGATGATATCCCAGCTTTTCCGGTTTTGTTTCCCCATTCTTCTTCCCATTTTCTTCTATAAAACCAACCTTGCATTTTGTCTTCCGGTGAGCCCTGGTGAGTGCTGAACTTACCAAACAAATTGAGTCTGCACTGCTTGAAGAATTCTTAATTGATTCATGTGCTGTTGATAACCATATGTAGATCTATGTAGATCTTGCATTTGGCAGTACCGCTTTTTGATCACCTGATACTGTGCTGGTGGTGTGCTCTTGGCTTTGGTTCCATCACCTGCTAGCCTGATCGACATTCAAATTCCTTACATGTAATCCTATAACCGCCATAAGTCCTTCATTCGCCAATTGGTATGCAGTTGAGTTGAATCAAACAAAGAATTCTTCCTGGATACGTATCCACCACCTCGCTTAATCATAACCTCCGTTGTTCCTTCTTCAGCCGGGATGAGCCAGGACCTTCCTTCGATCTTGAATCAAAAGTGTACATATGTATTAGTGTTCATTTGTAGATCCCGTACACATGACACCTGCCAGTGGCAGTGTCTATGGATCTAGGTAGTCCTCGGATTCCTGGTCCACCATCCACTCCTTGCGCGCTGGTGTGGTCACATCATTGTTTGATTACTCCGACTTTCGGAAATCGGTTGGCTTTCAGCTTAGTAGACTGCTGTGCACCTGCTACCCTCATGAATATAAAAGAAGGCTTTGTATTGCTCTCCTCCCCTTCTTTGACCATCAACCAATAAGTCACTTGAGACAACTGTGTTGCTGAGCTCGGTCCAAATTCCTAGTGTAGTCAGACCCAAGAGTAGCTTTTTGAATACAATTTGGCTATCTATTAATCACAATTGCTTCAGAGCTTGAGTTGAGCCTTGTAAATTGCCTAGACAGTGTTTCTGGACCAATGGGATTTAGTGCCTCCATGTTTTTTTTTTATACCTTCTTGTGCGAGCTCTCCAAACATGTAAACTAAAGCTCCTGCCTGCTTGTCTGAACACCTTGCTTCTTGTCGGAAACTGTGCTAAGATTGAACCTGCTACAATGATTATGATAGCTTTCTCCAAGCTTATATCTTTCCACTTCGTTCTCAAAACTGATCGCTTGTTCACATCATAACAGATCGCTTCAGATTGTTGGTAACTTGAGAATACTTTGTATAGCTCGCTTAAGATTGTCAACACCTTGGATGTTAAAGCAATTTCTTCAAGCATCTTTCCATTGAATTTAAACCATAAACCTTGATGTCAAGCTCTGCTTGCTTGAGTGAACATCTATGATTGCGCTGAGCTTTCCTGATCGCTGTCTGTCAGACTTCAAACAGAGAGACAGATCTCTCCTTCCACTTGATCGCTTTCTCCAGTTAATCACTCTACGATTTGAACAGCGATAAAAGTTGTTTTCTCCTACGCGACTACTTGTTTGGTCCACTCCTTTTCTGCAGTTATTTTCTAGTTTTCTGGTCTGCTTGCTCCTAGGCCTTGTAAATATTAATTACACTAATCCCTTTTATCCCCAAGTCCTATATTACTATGCCAAAGCCTCTGAAAGAGAAAAGAAGATAGAAGAAAACCAAAAAAAAGACTGAAACAGCCGTTCTCCAAATAATTTTATATGCATTGACTTGCTTCTTATTGCTTGACCTTCCCCCCATATTCTCTTGTTTTGCTTGCACGACTATGATCTCTTATAAGTTACATTTATTCTTCTAAAAATACATTGAGCGTTGTTTTAAAAAAATTCAATCCTGAATTTGATTCCCCTCCTGAATGGGACCAAAAACAGGGTTCCTCTCTTTTGAAAAAGGTTTGTGTCTAGGTATGTTTATTCTAGCCTGTCTAAGTCCCTTTTTATCTTCATTATATATGCTGATTCTGAGTTTATATCCCAGTTGTCCATATCTATATTTCCAATCCCCTTCCTTCAATAATGCTTCTGTTCCAATTTTGCTGAGGATATGCATAAAATCCAAGTTGCTGGATCCTCCACCTGGTAGCTCCTTTCTAAAACGTTTGAGGTGTCTTTCATCTTTCCAGAATTTGTTTGAATATTTATGCAAAGATGAAAATTCTTTTTGAAAAGTATCTATCTGTTGAAATTCTAAATCTGGTTCTTGTTGAATGGTATCATCTAGGTTTGGAATTTGGGGAGTTTCTACTGAATTATGTTCTTTGTCTCTGATATTTTCCACTCTGTTCTCTCTGGATTCATAATATTGACTCCAATTCACTGCTTGTAGTGAATGAATACTGCCCAAAAGTAAGGTATACTGATCCAAAACTGGTGTTATTGAAGTGCAGGGTGACTCAAATCTTCCTTTATCTTTACAAATCTCCAGAATTTCATCCTTAAAAAGCTCTGGTGAATCTGATTGAACTAGCTGTGATGTCTGTATCTGCTTGAGTAACATACTGACTGACTCCTGCATACTCTGTATTGAGTCCTCCAGTTTTAATATTTGGGCAGCTTGGTGCTTTAGAATGATGGCTGATTGCTCCATACTAGATTCTTCCAGGGTAGACATTCTTGACTCTAGCTTAAGTTCTGGAAAATACTTCTTGAAGGCGGCGGATATTGCTTCCCTCTCCGTTGACTGTTGTTCAGTATTTGGCTGATGGTCCAACTTTCCCGCTTCTCTGTCCAATAATTCCCCAGGTTTACTATGTGATCCCTGATCCTCCACTTTAATTTAGTCTTCTGTTGCTGAGGGAGATTTACTGTTGATCTTCTGAAGGTTATTTTAGGCCACTGTTGGGACACCAGATGTGAGAACTCCTTTGGGATGGATGGCAGTCCTGTGAGGGGGAAATAGCAGATGAGATATATCACGTATGTAATGATCCACTACAACTGTTACGGCTGGTTTGAAAGACCTGCCCCTCTATTGTACTACACAAGAGTTAACACAACAATTTATTTATTGTTGTGGCAAAAACTGATGATAGAGAAAACTATGTGTAGTAGTCTCTTATCAAACCTAGATCAACGTGGATTCAGCAGACTATTTGAGTGGAAATGTTGAGTAAGAGATGATTTTTTTTTCTGTTTATATGTTTATGTATTTTGGAAAATGATTGACGTATGTACTGATGATGAATGTGAATTTATGAGATGATATTGTGGAAAAAATGTGACTATTGAAAGTGTCTTTCCCTTCCTCCTTGAATCTTAGTCAAGAGCACAATGGTTTAAGATCACTGTCTCTTGTTTAAGATCACAAGTTGTACTGATTGCTACTTTCTTTTTCCTATGCTTCTCAAATGGCTGAATGATCTCAATGGAGCACTTGATTAAGATCACACTGGTTAATGTATGGATTGATTGCTCTGTTCTGTCTGGTTGATGATCAGATGAGATGATGAAAAATTGGAATGAGGGGGGGAAAGCCCCTCCTTAAATAGTCTATTTTACAACCCGGCTGACTTGTGGTTCTAGCCCTAACCTATAATCTATAAATGGCCAACTTGTGGTTCTAGCCCTAACCTATAACCTATAATTTATAAATGGCCAGCTTGTGGTTCTAACCCTAACCTATAACAAATATGCATAAAATCCGGCCAAATTGTGGTTTTGCTATCTATACAAGATTCTCTGTGTACCTACAAACAATGTGGCCAACTTGTGGTTACCCTATGCAATGAATATTGAATATGTAAACAAACTAAGGCCAACTTGTGGTTTGCATTATGCAATAAGCAATTTGTATGCAAATAAAACTTAAATCCCAAATAACTTTTGACTGAGTGGAGCTAGCCTAGTGGTTCCAGTGAGTGACTATAGGTTAAATGCCCCGTAGAATGTGATTATGCCATAATACGCCTGAGAATATATGCCCTTCTAAATATTGAACTGTGACTTTATGCAATTTGATACTTGAAACACAATTGGCATACTACAACGCATGAAGACTCGTGCGCAGGTTGATTGATTTTTTTGGGACACCTAGTAACAGTTTTCACATTTGTGATGATGTATTAATTTAGATCATAAAGAATAACATTGTTTGTTTTTGTTATCAACATTCCAGTTGACTACCACTCGCATAACTCACGTTTTACATTTCCATGCAATCATATACCGACCAAACTTGTCCTTCTGATCAGACATAGTTGGTACCTCATAGGACGCATAAGCAGAGCTAACTTGATTGTGAGAAAGCTTCATTGCATGTTCTACATAAAAGTTTTAATCAACTCAAAACATATACAACAATGAGATCAGAGGAAAAAAGACCCGGTAGATTACCCAAACGCTGTTCATCTGTTGGGTCAGGTCCCACGGGGTTAGCACCAGAGGTCGCTGACTCATCATTGGACTCCCTTGGAGGCGGATCGCTCGCGTCTGAATCATCACCTCGTTCAATACGTCTTTGGATTCTCTTAGATCGACGTTCCATGATTCTTGTGATTTGATTGGTGTTTGAACTACATTGAAAAATGATGGGAGCCAGAGGGGAGGGTTGGGTTAAAAATTGCCAAATAATTAGAGTTGATTTCAAAAATGAGGGGAAAGAAGTAGGGGAGACAGATTTCTTCACTGAAATGGGAAAGAAATGGGAAAGAATTTAGAAATGGCTTACTTATAAATTATGTAAGGAGTTAATGAGATAGATGAAGCCTGAGAAACATAGAATATGATCAAGAGGGAGGGTTAAAAAAAAGGGCAAGGGAACAGGTCAGTTCTCATAAGTAGCAATGAGGGGAAAAGTAGGGGGAACTCATAGGGATGTGGACTTACTTAAGCCTTGAAGTGTCCAGTCAGAAACCCCTGGTCAACAAGCCTGGAAGGCAGGATTAAATAAAAAAAGGGAAACAGGGTCAGTTTTCATGGGTAATCATGAGGGGCAAAACAGGGGAAAACTCATAGGGGACTCACCTGGCTTCTACTTGTCAAACAGGTTGAAGTCAAGGAGTTGGTGACAGAGGGGGGGGGGGGGGGGGGGCTCGATCCTCGAAGGAGGGGAGATCGGCGAGGCCGACGCGGTGCGAGGAGGGGAGGGGTGCCTCGATCCTCAAATCCAATGGAGGGGAGATCGGCGAGGCCGTCGCCGTGCGAGGAGGGGAGGGGCGCCTCGATCCTCGAATCCGATGGAGGGGAGATCGGCAAGGTCCGATGGAGGGGAGATTGGTGAGGCCGACGCCGTGCGAGGAGGGAATTGGAGGGGGAGTTGGTGACGGAGGGGGGGTCGATCGACTTCGTCCTTGTCCTCTGTCAGTTGGCGATAGAGAAGGCCGGTGAAGTGGGATGTCGGTGTATCGGCATCCCACTCGTATAGGATATGCCGGCAACCGAGTGGGGCCGCGGGGCTGTGGGCTGCGTAGCGCAGCCCACAGCCGACAGCCTGTATATGACCGGGAAGGGATACCCGGATATCCGCCTGAATTTTAGGGGAAACGGGACATCCGCACCCCCTGGCGGGTATCCAATGAAGCCAGGGGATACCCGCCAGCGGATAACGGATAACCGCAACGGATATCCTTTGACCATCTCTAGCTTTTGATACCTGGCAGGGATGATATTGTGAAGCTTTGACATACCACATGATGAGCCGCTGTTTGGGCCATTGATGAAACTTGGGGGTTTGTACTACAAGTACTCTATGTACAGTGGGTGGACCATTGTTTTTGGCTGCTTGTTTTGGGTTCTACAGCTTCAAAGCACAAACTCCAAGTCACACGACTTGGTGAACTGGTGCAGAATAGGTCCCAAAGAATGAATATGAAAAAACAAAAACCAAAAATAAAGTTTCAAAATTTGTGAAAAATAAAAAATAAAAATGTTTTTTTCCAAAAGCTTTGTTATTGATTTTTGAGGAGTGGGAGTGCTGAGAGAAAGAAAGAGTGGAACATGGTAAGAATAATTATAAATGAAAAAAATTGGAACCAAAAAAGGTTTGGCCAGGTAGGTTGTCCAGATTGGATCCAAATCAGTAAATTCCAGTGCTTTACTGCAATGTGGGCTGGTGAATGCCCCAATCAACAGCTCTTTGAAGCCATCTGGGAAGTAATTTTTCCAAAATTTTCATTCATAATCATTATTTTAATATCCCAATCTTCTTTTCTCTCAGCACTCTCAATCCCCCAAAATCAATTTCAAAGCTTTTGAGAAAAATAAATTTTATTTTTTATTTTTCACAAATTTTGAAACTTTGTTTTTTGTTTTTATTTTTTCATATTCATTCTTTGGGACCTATTCTGCACCACTTCACCAATTCTTGTGACTTCAAGTTGGTGCTTTGAAGCTCTGGAATCCAAAACAAGAAGCCAAAAATAACGGTCCACCCACTGTACCTTAGCCAAATTTGGGACACCAAGATCTGGCTGGTGACACCCAGCTCTGCATAGGGTGGACTTGCAAGCTAAATAGATTATTAAAAGCTCCCTCTTGTAAAGGCTGTAGTAAGTATGACACTGGATGGGGGGTAAAATCTATCCCTAAAGAACCTTTCTTCACAACTCTCCACTCAGAAGGATTTTTTGATCAATCAGAAACAAGTATCAAGCTGGAAGGTGTCTTATTGGCAGATTGATTGTCAAAACTGAACCTCATTGATTCCAATAATTCTCCTTCAGGTTTGTTTTTTCTATCCACATCTTTCACTGCAAGAAAATCTCAGGTAACAGATAGCAGTTGACATGGAGCATACTCCAGCATCAACCTTGTTGTAACCACTAGGTATACCAGAACAATGTCTTGTACAATGTCACTGTGTAATATGCACAGTGACTGTGCATCAAAGTTTGACCAAATTGAGCACTCACTTAGATTTGAGTTGAAGAACAAGGCTCAGCAAATTCTTTGGATGTGAACTGCCAGCAGTTTTCAAAGTTTTCAAAATCTTAATCTTATCATGCTGAGCACTTTTTTCAGGCTGAAACCTGACATCAGAATTTTCCAATGTGGGAATAGGATAAATGCTAGATCTTAGAATGACTCTTTGTTTCTTCAGAGATGTGATAGGAAAAAGTGAACCGTAAAGTAAAACTAAAAAGTAAAACAAGATGCTACAAATGAAGTTTGAGAGAGAAGGATCAATGATGAGAATGTGAGACTTTCAAAATATAAACAAGGAAAGAGATCATTGCGACTTTTTCTTGTATCTCTCAAAGACCTTTTTGTAGATTTTCTTGACATGTCTTAAAACTCTCTCCCCAAAAGCTGTGACCTTGAAAGAGAAAGACTTTGAATGTTTGCTTTCTTTCCATTGAACCCAAAGCTGTTCAACTCTTTTGGTAAACTGTTCTGGGTCCTTGTAGCGCAAGTTTCTTCCTGCAAGAAACTTCTTGAAGAATTTCATTTCAGTTTTTGTGTGATCTGGATGCAAGAAATCAATGGCTTCTTCAATTTTTCTTTTATTTTTTTCATTTATCAATAGAATCAAAGATCAGTAAAGAATTATAGCACATTCTTGAATTGAGAGAAATGATTTTTTTTCAATTGATACATACATCATTACCCTCTCTTTTGCAACATCTTTATAAAATTTATCATGATTTCCTGAGTTAATGAATTTTTTAAATGCCTTACTTTTTTAATTAAACATGTCAAAAAATTCAAAATTATCCAGTCAAATAAAAATGCAAGATTGTAATAAAAATACAAAATGGGAAACCTACTATTTCCAGGGTCTCATTTTGAGTTTCTCGACATCCATGAGTGCTGCTGTTTGATATTTTTCATCTGCTAACAAACCTAAATGATGGTTCCTGAGCCAAATTATAGATGTCAATGAAAGTCAGTTCTACAAACCAAGCTCAATTTTGGCTGAAGATTAAAAAAAAGAACATTAGTTCCATTTGATTCCAAGCATGATTACATCAAGAAGCTTCCATGGAATGTAACCACATATGGCACACTTAAAACCACAGTGCCTTTTGGTGATCTAGGATAATGTTTTGAAGATATTCACAACATGCAGTTACATCTCACCAAAAGTGGGAAATATAAATACACATGCAAATAAAGAAAGATGATTATCTTCTCATGAATGGGAGATCTTTTGACCACAAACCTCAATACATTGTAAAGTTTTGGCACCATTTCCTTCTCATTTATGCCAAACATTCTTGATAGAACCCTGCTCTTTGCCTTAGCCTTGTTTAACCTAAACAATATTTTGGATTTTTTTGAACATTTGTTTGATGATTGTTTTTTTACAAGACATTCATTGATTTATGAAAATCCAGCAGACGGCTTACAATTCTTGTTCCTTTTCAGGTGTGATTGTTTTCTCAAATGTTGCTTCTTGATGAACTGGCGGCGAGTTTTTTCTAAGATCATGATGATGTGGTGAATCAATACTTGAATTCTTGGGTAGAAAAATCACAAATAAAACCTCCTTACAAATCCAATCCGCCACTTTGGAGCGCCTTGGCGTCATCAAAATGTTGTCCAGTATGGGCCCTATTGAAATCAAAAATCATGATGAGCTCAGAGGAACCTTAAGCACTACCTTTATTTGAGAAAATACTCATTCACTTACAATGCAGGCTCTGATTCCATCAAACGCCCCGATTCGATTGCCGTATCCATCCGTTTCAATAATCTTGCCACAGAACACTCCGCTGGGTTTTCCGTTAGAACAATCAGTAGTGCGACATAATTAAACACTAGTACGCTTGCCCAGAGTAACATTTCTGGCTTGCTTTGTGAGGTTTTGGATCTAAGTGAAAGAAATTCGGGGAGGGATCTTGCAAGTAGTCTTTGCTCTAACAAAATAAACATGAGGATAGTGCACTGCGAGGTGAAATTTGGGGGTTTCCTTCAACTCCTATCATCTTTTTCTCCGCCCAAGCACAGCCAATCGCAAGCGAGCAATAATAAATCGTACGCGTTTGAAAGCGAGACAGTATGGGGCCGGTTAACATCAGCCGAGTTTGATCTCTTCACAATTTCAGAGTCTCGTTGACACGTGGTGGGGATGACATTTTAAAGGTTTACGTGCCATCAATTGGTGGGCAGCAATTTGGGCCATCAGTGAAACTTGGAGAGGTCCTACTGCGAGTCTTGGCAATAGACTTGGATTGTGCAAACTAGCTTATCCCAAGTTCCCCTCCTAAAGACTGCGGCCAGTGTACTGGTATCAATGCCAGAGGGGCGGGACTCCTAGAGAGATTTTAGTGGGAACTCTTCGCTCGAAAGGCTGTGCCATCCTCGGAATAACATTTCTTATAGCCGGGCTGATTGAACGGCAGGGACCACAATCTTACTGTCCCCAGTGCGATTTTGCCATGCGTTGAAATTTGGGCCTTGTGGCAGAAGACGAAGGCCGTAGGCAGGGTAACTCGGACCGCTCGGACCGGCTGCGTGGGGACATTCATATTGAATAAACTCAGGATCCCGCGAGTTTAATCCGGTCGAATTGCATAAAATGTATGACGTTATCGAGTTTTGTCGGTGAAGTTTTTAAGTGTTTTGACCAATTTTTTTCTCTTTTTCACTCAGCTGGTGGTCAACAGGAGAACGATCGATCGCACCCTACACAGTTGACCGTCCAAGAACGAATACAGGATGAGTGCCGAACCAACAGCCTCGAGTTCTCATCTCGACCTCTCCACCGCCCAAGTCATCAAGACCCCGATCACCACGGCCACCGGAAGCCTGCTGAGCTCGAACGCATACGAAAAAACTTCAACGACCTCTTCCACCTCGTTCCTCGGACCGGTCCATGAGTTCACCGCTCGGATCTCCAAGTGGAGAGATTCTTTGAACCTTCCCGATCCTGGTACTTACGAACAAGTCGGAAGGGAAGCCAAAGGTCCGTCGCTTTATCACCTTCTTTCTGTTGTGTACCGGCCCAGAAAAACTAAGCAGAACTATTTTGTTTTCCGCATCCTCCTCTATTTTTGTTGGCAGGCGTCCATTTAACCAACTATATCTTCGATGGAGCTCGTGCTGAGTTGGCTAAAGCGCTCTCATTGAGCCCGGCATTCAATGTCACTCATTCCTTCAACATGGGTGCTCAAGGTGGAGCGATGGGTGGAATTCACCCGGGTACTTATAGCTTTGGTGGAATGTATGCAACCAATAATGTAAAATACAAATATACTACCCTGTCAATTCACGCCATTGTGTGATATCATTCCAAAAGGAGTTTGAATGAGTTCCTGATAAGTTTTCTTTACTCCTTCTTGATTTTCATTTAGGTTTTTGCGCAAGGTACGATCGACAGTGATGCTACTTTGATGGGTCGATTCAATTACCGATGGGGATCGAAAGATATTTCGAAACTGCAAATTCAATGGCCCTCGAACCCCACGAACCCATCCGTAACCCAAGTGGAACACGAGCGACATGGGCAAGATTACGCATTATCGATGAAGGCATACAACCCGAACATCAGCAACCAATCGGGAATTTTCATTACCCAATACCTGCAATCGCTACACCCACGCTTCAGTCTAGGGATAGAGTCGGTATGGCAAGTGATGCCGCCGATGGAGGATGCCAGCATGTCATACCTCATGAAATGGCAATCCGCCAAACGAGAGTGGATCTCCACACTCACCCTCCAAGCCACCGGCCCCCTCCAAGCCTCCTACTGGCAGAAACTCTCCGACCAAGTCGAGGCCGCAGTCGATCTCCACTTTCTTCCTCACCCATCTCCCCGCGAACGTAAGGCTGTCAGTACCGTCGGGTTGAAGTATGACTTCAGACAGGCTACCGTCAGAGCTCAAGCCGACAGTACCGGGAAGGTCTCCATGCTGCTGGAACAGCGCATCGCTCCTATGTTCACATTCTCCGTCGCTGGAGAACTCGACCATGCTAAGGTGAGCCCATCTCTTCAATTTCACATTTTTCTGTGGGTGGCTGATTGAAATACTTCGTGTGCTTGTAAAGTCTCAATCCAAATTCGGAGTCGGAATCCAATTGGAATCATCTCCATTAGACGAGAATTCTCTCAAAGGACTGACCCCTCCCTCTCCACCCATGTAACTAAAACAAAAAAACAACAAAACTGATTATGGATACATAATACCTACCGAATGCATGCATATATACACACACCCCACCCCCTCTCGACCTACTTTTGTCTTGCCTTGCTTTCGTTTTCAGCTTCGTTTATTTACGAAACTATCTAACTAAAGTAATCAAGTCCCTTTGTTCCTAATTTTTCCTCTCTTCACACTTAACAAACCAACGAAAAAGAAATCATTCACATATATTCAACCCATGCCCTGCAAGGAAATTGTAAGAGTCACCAGCAATTTTTCAAAAATGGAAAGATGCTGGCTTATCCCCCCCCCCCCTCCTCTTTTTGATCACATCATCAAACTGATGGCTGTGAGGTGTGATGCTTGGGTATCCAGTCCTGCATCCATAACCCGTTCAATCTATTAATAGTTGTGTTCATGTCTCTACAGTACAACATTGCGTTTCCGCATCACATTGAGGATTGGGGTGACCTGTGTTTATCTGTCTTGGCTGATTAAGTCCTAAAAATAGGCATCTACTTACACCACGGGTGCAGTTTGGGATTGCAGATACAGCCCTGGGATGCCATTGCCCCAGTCCCGTCCAGTGAACTCAAAGGCCATCAAAATGGCATCTTTGTGAAGCAGTTATGATGGAAGATCTGGCTTCTAAATGGATTTGGATACCTCTACATAGGACGTCTTGTGTGATGTCCCCAGGTCCCCAAACTTCAAAGTGCACCTGTGGTGTAAGCTTCTGGAAAGGAGGATCCCGAAGGAACGGAACCGTGCGGCCCCATGAGCCGCCCGGCGCTCCCCTTATTAGGGAGAGGCCGGCTTCGCTACCCAGCCGGTATCACACAGGACACAAGTTCCCTCCAGGGCGGGACTTGTGGTTGGGGCTCGTGGGAGTTGGACTAAGCCAGTCAGGTTCAATGATCTGGGTAGACCCCGTCATGAACCTAGCTTAACTAAGTCCCTCCGGCAGTTTCATCCGATGGTTTGCCGGAGGGCGCCGTCCCACCGCCCATAGAGGGACTCAGGTAAGTAAAAGTTAGGTCATGAACCCACACTTAATATGCTAAGTTCAGATCTCTTTCGAGCTATTGTGATCCGGTCCATCAGGCAGGTTCTGGTGATTTTCTTTGGACCATGATGTCGACGAGTTTAAAAATCCATCAAAGTCGGTGGCTTCACCAGCAACACGGCCATCATCCGGTGAGCTTCATCGCATGCTACTCGAAATGACATGGGCTCGAGGTTCTTTGCTCATTAAAGAGCGGTTCTTTGTTGCCTCTAGTGGCCTAGTTCTCCTGGCTTTAACTGACGACTGTTGACACTTGCCATGGAGACTTTGATGGGACATTCATCCGTGGCACAATATTTCTTCTCGAGTTAGTCTTTCGCGCTTCGACCATTCCAGTTTAGAACCAGGAAGTCGGTTGAATCCAGGTTGAATCTATTAGCCAGTTTGCTCCTGTCAGTGCTGACTGAAGCCGGTCGAGCAACACTCACATCAGTAGCCACGCTACAGCCAGTCATCTAGTTGGGCGCAAACGATCTATCGCGCTGGATCCACAGTATTTAAAGACCCCATTACTCTGACGTTCTTGTTTTTCCCTCAGACAACTTCTCACCTACCTTCCACTTTCAACCCTTTAATTAGAACCAACCTTCGACAGGCCATTTACATCCACTTGGATCCTTCATCTACTACATACCTTTTATAAAAACCCACTCAAGAATTTAAACACATATACCCTTTCACCGACTCAAATAATCCACCAACCTCTTCAGACAAACACCCACTTTCGTCGACTTCCTACCAACCAATCCTAACAAGATGCAATTCAACACTCTCTGTCTCTCCGTTTCGGCCGCGATCTTCACCTTAAGCACTGTCCTAGCTGTCCCCACGCCCACTATAGGCCTTGGCCTTGGTGGTGGTATCGGACTCGGAATCGGAGGCGGACTTGGAGGCGGTTATGGCGGAGGCTATGGCGGAGGTTACGGCGGAGGTTACGGCGGAGGTTACGGCGGAGGTTACGGTGGAGGCTATGGAGGAGGTCTTGGATATGGCGGCGGCCTCGGTTATGGAGGTGGCCTCGGATATGGCGGCGGCCTCGGATACGGCGGTGGCTATGGCGGCGGCCTCGGATACGGTGGTGGCCTTGGATATGGTGGAGGACTCGGATATGGAGGTGGTCTCGGATACGGAGGAGGCGTAAGTCGACAACACGAGAAATCTTCATTCAGGTCTATTCACTGATTCTTGTTCTTTATCTGTTCTAGTACTAGTTGGTCCACTTCCCCTCTGGTCTTTCCCAACTACAACAGTGATATCACTGTGGTCTCCATCCTTCCCCTATCCTTCTCCTGCTACTTCCTTCCTTTCTAATTCTTGACTTGGGCATTCGGATTCTACTCAACATTTGTTCATATATAATCTCTTCATTTTTTGCACTTTTATTATTATTATTAAATAAATGTACTTATTGTCATGAAAATAAGAATAATTCAGGAGGGTCTTCTCATAATCAATCGTCTCCGTCATTGTAAACAGGCATGGCATTTCGACTGGTTTCCAAATGTTGAATAACATATATCACTCTTGATCGCGAAAATTTTCGATCCCACACCCAAAAGTCGCAAACCGCGTACTTTGTGATTGTCTAGGCTACTACTGCAATCCACAATGAGCCACTTGGTCAGTTGTAGGTGAACTCTGGTAACCTTGTGAAGGAAAAAATTCCTACTTGATTGATGTTCCAAGCACCTACAGTTCTAAGCGAAACTCTGTGAGGATAGTTACACAATTTTACTAGTTCATGGTCCTAATCTTTTTGTTGTCCCATGTTAGAGACAAGGATCAAATTGTGTTGATTCATTGATGCAGCCGTATATCATATTTTGGCTAACAAAAATGCCTATTGGATGGAGCCTGGAAAAGCAGCATTGATGAAATTTTGAACAGTTCATACCAAAAAAATTGCGATGTCCCTGTCATCAGATGGCGATTAGTGTTTTTATCATTTCACGACCGGGGTACTTCACTATCAACCCCGGGATAAACAGGTAAAATAAGTCATTTAGCAATGGTTAAACGCCGGTCGCCGGCGCTGGGCTTGAATGATTGTTTCCTTGTCGGCAAATTTTTTAATCATTTCTATGGGCAATTGCTCGTATTCGGGTGTCGCCAAGTCCAGACGCCGACTGGTGCTTTCGTCACTATACGACCGGGTCTGCAAATCAACACCGGGTAGACAGCTGAACTGTCTTGTTAAGGTCGAAATCGGTGGGCAAGGTTGTAAAAAAGATTGTTGGTATCAGTTAATGAAGACCATCGCACTTAGCATCGTGCGATTGACACACAAGTCCTTATAAACCCGTCGTCCCTGAGCCATTCAAGCATCTTGAGACCCATTTTCCAAGCTGAACAAAAGTCTTCTCATCACGTACACAAAAACTTTCGCCTTTAATCTACATTTACAATCAACAATATGTCTCAGAGACTCAGTTCTGCCTCGAGCGCCTCTCTATTCTTGCTTGTTGTCTTGTCTGCCCTGGTGGCGCCAAGCTTGAGTAAAATTCTTTTAGATTACCGAATCCCGCCAACTGCTAAGGTCACTGATATGGGGGACAAGACCACCGCTTTAGGCAAATTGACCAAGGCCACTATCACTGGAAAAAATTCTCTCACTGAGGCCTACCAGTTCATGAAAGTACCCAAGAGTCAATTTCAAGTGGTAGCACTGAAAATTAACGATAACTCTATCTTCAAAGATCAATTAGGATTCCGGTTAGTTCTTTATTTGTTTATCTCAAACCACAAAAACTTACTCTAATCATACTGTTTTCAATACCAATTATTTACAGTCGCAATGACATTGTGCCCGAGTATAACGCAAAGCTTTTCGAAACAGGAACGAAGACCTATCATCATGTGAGAGCTTATCTGGCTTCCTGAAGTCGAAGTGTCGTCAGCTTAACTTATGTCCCATCGCGATGTTCTTCAAGAGTTTCATATTCACAAAAGGTGGAAAATTGGATCTGAAGCACGGTTATCTCCTTGCAAGTGTTGAGTTTCCTGACGCAGTAAGTGTATTGGATCTCACTACCTTCCCTACGAGACGAAAAATGCTCCAACTGGATCTGACTGACTCTATTTATCTATTTGTTGATAGGATGGTAAGTTCAGAAGCTTGATCAAGCTACCATACATAGAACTCCTTTTTTGACTTATCGTTATTTTTCCGCATGTGACAGGTACCCATATGTTTGACATTTTTCATGGCACACAGTTCGACTCTAAAAACACCGCCGGCACTGCCGACAAAGATGCGAATAAAATCAGAGTTAGAGACATCAACTTCAAAACGCTTTTTGATGTTGATGTGAAATCCGATGTAATATTCAATTTTGCCATAGAAGTAGACGTAAGTTGCCCTGCTCATCTTCAAGGCATGAATCTAAGTACACGCAAGCTGAGGGGTAGATCTATCGATTTTCATTTCGTTCCTTTTTATTTTCGTTGGCAGTGGAAGGCCAAGTACGTCTTTTCCAAAAAAAGCGCCATAATATTAAGAAGGAGAAAGGCATTGAAATTTATTTTACCTTGATATCTATAGCTCATTAAGTGTTTATCATTCGACTGGCGATGACCCGCTCAAACAAGTAGTCAAGCCGGCGGCCATTGTACCAACAAATCCAAAGGCTGTAAAAGTAGCTGGCACAGGTGAATGGCACATACAAATGATCAAGGAGTAAGTAATGGATTTGATTTTTTCTCACTTGTAAGCTAAGTAACGTATTTAACGCTGCTGGTTACCTTCCTAAGACCGCTTCCTAACCCTGCGGATCCAGTCGAAAAGCGTAGTGACGTTCCTCACAACGGTATACAAGTAAGCTGTTAACTTAGAATTTGGATGGGCGGGGGGGGGGGGGTTCATATGTGACTGATTCGTCGTCATTGCGAAACCTACAGGAAAAGGGAATTAACGAGTCGATCATTGCGCTGCGTAACTTCATTGAGGACAAAACGTCGACCAACCCCGATGGGCCCGCAGGAGGGGCTGATACAACTGCTGGCGTGAGCGGCTCTCAGAAAGCCGGTGTAGCCTTACTTGACGCAACTAAAAAGAAAGTAAAGAGACAACTATAGAACCTTGGTTGAAGTTGAAACTGTGATTCATAAATATCATGGTGCAAGGGATGCTCATTATGGACCAAAGCAAGTTTGGGTGATTAATGTATTCTTGTAGGGAGCCCATAGGTTATCATGGTCCACCAGTATGACCCCTGGGCCCTACTGTATCCTCAAGTAGTCATTAGTTTTATTCCGTTTTGAGCATTGTTATTTGTATTAATACTCTTCTTAAGCTGTAGCTTTACTCAAAAACCAAGTGTAGGTTGCTTTAACATTGTGAGCAGTGCATAAATATTCAACCTCATTCCAGTTGCTGGGAATGTTATCCACCTTTTTTACCAAAAAGATGAGACAAGTCTGTCACAAACATGAATCAGGATAACTAGAACAATATCTATCCTCTATTTCTAAAGGTCTTCTCTTGCTCTAGTCGGGTTCAGTCAGGGGGAGCTGGGACCAAATTTGGAATGAAAACTTGACACTTGCATCATTGCATAAATATTCAAGTTCAACCAAATAAGATTGCTAGTTTCTGGGAATCTTACACACCTCTTCTTCCCAAAGAGGTGTATAAGTTATAAATACATCACCCACAAGAGTCAGGAAGAAGAGCTATTGATTTTCAGTCAGGGGGGAGGAAACGAAATGCATAGAAAAAGAAATCAAGAAAATAAGTTTTTCCCATCATTCAAATTCAAATTGAAAATTGAAAATCAGAAATTCATCCAGGCTTACAGTGGATAGTGGGTTTTTTGCTCAAGGATCAGGTTGGCCCCTGCAAGAAAAAAAACCCACCTCTTAAACAACTAGTCAAAAACATTTCTTCCTTGTGATGCAAATTTAATTTTTATATATTTTAATCACATAATTTGAGAATTTGTTTCAATAATCAAAGTTATCCAGAAATCTGTTTCATCTAGGAATTATGGTGGCTTTAATATACTGGCCAGGGACAGATGCTCAAACACATATCAGACAACACCTGAAAGTTGGAATGTACACATAAAGTCCATACTCTGTCACAAGCTTGAAGAAGGAGGTTTATGAATCACTTTCATACAATCATATTGCAAGTGTTCCCTCTGAAAATGTTAGAACCTCAAAATTCAGACTAGTACTTATTATAATAAGCTTGAATCCACACATAAACCCCTAGGGTACCACTGAAAAATGTTAGTCTTCTCAAATTATTCACAACTTCAATTATTGATTGTTTGGTGCTGCTTACAAGCATCTAAATCCACCCCTGTAAATGATGTGGTCGCACAGACAGACTCAGGAGACAGTCATGATATGGTTGAAGGAAGTATGTTATCATCCACAAGAATTTAACCAAGTAGCCAGAATAACATTGATTCCCCATGTTTTGATATAGCAGTCACCATGTTTGAAACAGGGGGTACCACTACCACAAGGCAACAACTAATCAGGGTCCCCTCAAATGATAAGGGTTTGAATCCTATTCTCAAGAAATCAGTAGATTTCACAATCCCTGAAGACAAAGATGCCCCTGAAGAATACATCAAGAACATTCTGAATCCATTAAAAAATGATGGATTTGTAAGAAAATGTGAGTTTTAAACACATGCAAACTCATGAGAAATATTCCCACCAACACTGAAGGTGAAAATCTCCTTGATTCTTCATGGTAGTTGCAGAGCTTCCAGAATCATGGGAAGAAAGAGAGAGTTAGTGCATTTGGAGTGTCTCCCATTGCCTTCCCCATTAAATGGATTAACTGACTGATTACTAATTGTCAGTTCTAATAAAGCAGATGAATAAGGAGTTAAGATATCTCAGGAAAGATGTGAAAATCATGAAATCCTTGGTCCATGCTGTACATCCAAGATCATTCCAAATGAAGAAGGCATTGTTCATTCAATATTCTCCAAAGCTAGATCAACTACATATGCAGCTTTCCATCCCAATAAGAAACCGTATTGCTAATTTAAAAGGCAAACAATCAACTATCAGTATACCTAAAACCAGTCACCCACCCAACAGCTACATTGTAAAACCCTTGAAAACCTCTAAATTTGAAAATTGTGACACATTGAAAAAGTATGTAAAATGACTTTCAGTAGCCTGTTGACAGAATTATCCATGTCTATTGAAAAATTGAATCCTTGTTCTTTGATTTCATTTCTGCCAAATTAAGGACAGCTCCTCCTGTAGCTGGAAAAAGCATCAAGCCAGATCCTAATGAAAAAAATGAAACTGCAACAGAGATTATTGAAGAACAAATTCTACATGAAGAATTAAACCAAACTGTTTTGCAAAAGATGGGCAATTTTTTGGCAAAAGAGTTTATCAAGCTAATAATTGAAAGTAGTCCAAAGAGACACACAAAACACTTTACAGAATTCCCAATTCATAGACTTGGGTTCCAAACAATTCATTTCATGTATAGGAATCATTTAATAACTCAACAGGACTTTGTCTCTTTATTTGAAGAAAATGTTCTCAATGAAGCTGCTGAAAATATGTACCAAAGTTATGTCTATGATCAACCACACTTGTTTGATAGTGATTATATAGAAGATGGAAAGAATATCTTCAATGGCTGGTATGGATTAACAGCTAGAGAGATGTTTTCTGGTAAGTTGCTTGTTCACTTTAAGAAGCTAATCATCACAACTCAGAACTAACCAATTGAATCATGAATTCAATTTTCTTCCTTTTCAAATCAAAATTACTTGGAAATAGTTCTTCAACCCAAACAACAAAGGATGTTTTCATTCTATTCAATTGCTTTTATTTTTCAAAAATACATCAAATTACATGATAGTAAAAAGATTCCTGAGTTGAAGGATAGGATGAATTATTACAATCAAAGCCTTTTCAAGAATGATAGATTTTTCAATCTATTGGAAGAATTTTATCAACAAAATTCAATTCATAAATTATACATCAATGGGGATCTTATTAAAACAGAAATCACAAGCATATCTGATACTTTCAAAAGTGTTGAAAACATGGATTTAAATGGAGAACACCAGAATGAAATACCAGTTCTTTTTCAAATCATAAGATTTATTGAAGAAAATTACCCTGATTTGATTGCCAGATTGAATATGAAAAAGGATGATGTATTTGGCAAGAAGTATGCTTTGATGTGTGGAAGTAGCTGGTTCCATGGGCAACTGGATAACATAAAAATTTATTTAGAGATGAGGTTTTGTAAGTGCAAAGAAAACTCATGGCCCTCAACTTTTGAATTTCTCCCAACCAAGAATCAACCAATGAAACCCCTTGATGAATTGAAGTGCATCTCAAGTCATTTAGACAACATTCTCTCTCAGTATGAACAGAAAGTCAATTTTATCCTTGATGGTGATCAAATGAATATATATTGTGATGATCAAAGAATAAGAGAATTGATTCAATTTCTGAAAGTCAAGATAGATAATCTGAAAGTTAAAATAGCATCACAACCTGACAAGTTCAGGATGTACTCATATTAGGAAGGTGGCATTACTACACAATCCATGTTCAACCACATAAATTAGTAAATTGTCTTGATTTGTAAATTCATTGAATACAAAACACTGACCAATCCCAATGGGGTTGCAGTGAGGGCTGATACTACTGCTAGTGCCACAAGATCTGGGGAACAGGACAAAAGTGTAGCACTATTTGAAACAACAAAAAGAAAGTAAAGAAACAAATATGGAGCCCTGGTTGAACTGCAATGTAAAAATGCCATGGCACAACTACATACAAGGGATGATCAATATGTGTCAAAGCATATTTGGACATGCAATAGAGGCATTGGTCTCTCATTAGAACCTCTGCATCATGGAGCAGCCTTTAGTTTTCTTCAGTCTTTGCATTCCCATGCACATTACATCATACTTTTCTTAAGCTGTATCTTGATTCAAAAACAAGTGTAGGTTAGTGTGGGGTTCTTTAACAATCTGCACAATGCAAAAATTACATCCAACCAAATCTCAGTTGCTGCCAATGCTGGGAATTTCTATGATGATTTAAAGCATCAGAATTGCACGGTTTGCAATCAGAGTCTGCATATAGGACATGTCCAATGACACAATCATCGAAGCCTGGATTTCCAATGGGACTCGGCGATCTCTTGAGTTAAATATCGGTGAGAGTTTTATAAGAGCATCTCCACCGCGGTCCCTAAATTGGGTCCCTATCCCGCATTTAGGGACCGCAGCCCAAAAAATGCCACCCACCGCGGTCCCCATCGGCGTCCGTATTTTACGGATTTCATCCTCGGTCCCTCTCCAGACCCTGGCTCCAGGGTAGGGTTGACGGCACCACTTTTGGAAAAGTGCGCGCCGGAGGGCGCCTCCAAAACTGCCAGCGATGCGCGCCTTTGGCAGGCACATTGGAGGCGCGCCAGGGGCGCCATTTTCCGCAGTAAAAAACATGTACATATCGCCTATTTTCCATGTTTTTTAATTTTTTAACTAGTATATGCCCCCAAATTTGGGGAGGCTGGTTGTTTTTGCCCCGGATGTTGAGGGTTGTACTTGTTTGAAGGTCCTATGGTGTAATAGCCTTCACTTTTGAAATTGTAAAGTCTTGGTGAATGTCGGAAATGACAATGAAATGTGCAACATCGACGCCGGCGTTAGAAGCCGCATGAGAAATCAATACAAAGGCTGACAGTTTGTTTGGCCCTCTGAGGCCATTTTTTTAGTTATATGTAGATTATATTTTTTTTTTTAACCTAAATTTTTTACCACAGCAAAGTCTGACTTTGCTTTATCGGGTAGCCACAATCGGTGGGTGCCATGCGGCACTTCACACTATTCGGGGGTCGAACCGGGTTCTCGGGGGCCAAAAAGTAAGTTCAACCACCAAGAAACCCAAAAAAATACAGCTTTTATGGGTAGTTGATGGCAAAAAAGTTAGGGTTAGAAGTGCGCGCCACCCCCCCTTTTTCCAGATTTCATGCACGCCGAGGGCGCGCGTGCGCGGCGCCCGCACATCGGCGCGCCTCAGGTAGCGCGCCGTCAACCCTACTCCAGGGATTGGATAGGGACCAAGGACTGTACACATCAATGTGAATGTCACACGACATCACACCTCAACCTAGTGTGACAGCCTGTCAACACTACACCGATACCAATGATTTAAGGACTGCCCGGTGTGGCAGAACAGGGTTCCGAGTCCCTAAACACATTTCCGAGTCCGTATTTTCGATCGATAGGGACCCGAAAATACGGACCGCGGTGGAGATGCTTGATGAAGAAGTGAAGTGTGCGTGTGTGATGTGTGATGATCCGCCGAGATCTGGACCGGATCAGCATATCGGACTGTGATACTGATCGTGGCCAATGCATATCCGGACCGGAAGCAGCTGAGGATTATCTTGCAGCTCGAAATCCTCGAAGGGGAAGTTCCAACCTCAACGACCGTTCGATACTACCACCACCAGGGGAGACACACTAGACGGGGATGCTCAAGAATTCCTTAGGACGTATCCCGAGCAAGCGACGATTAATCGATGCTCGAGTAACACGACCCGATGGAGCAGCCCGATTGATCTGCAGGCGAAATTCTCATATCTCAGAGGAAGGGGACATCAACAGTGGCAGATATCATCGACTGGCCACTGCTAACTCATCATCCAATCAACAGCCACCTATTCGATCAAACTCGCACCAGATATCATCTACCAGCTCAGATCCTCCCTTGCCCGCCATCGGTCTCGAACTCCATGTCCAATTGGCTAGTGATTCTAAACTGTTTTCTTCAGGTTAGTTAGTAGTCTGAATATGTCTGTACTGGGACCCAAACAGGTGGGTACTCTGAAATTTTCTGTCGGATCCCCCCCCCTGTTTCTACAGCTTTTTTCTGACGTTTCTTTTTTGTTAACAAAATTCAAACTTTTCAGCCAATCCGCCCACAGCAGACCAAGATAGCAATACCAATCTCGCTTTATTTGATGCCGCAACTCCCGGTACACAGCCAGTTAGTTACTCGTATTTGTGCATCTTTTTTTCTCTTTGTCTGATCAGTTACTTTTTTATTTTATTTATTTATTGAAAACTGTTGTTTCTACATTCAGGTATTGTCATCAGATTGTCTGAGATTGGCATTAATTGCATCACTAGCACTGGAATGTAAAATCAATCGAAAGACGAGCTTTGATCGGAAGCATTACTTCTATCCCGACCTTCCGGCTGGCTATCAGATCACCCAACATTACTGTCAGTCTTATACACACACACACACATTTTCTTTTTGGCGATCTTGCCAATAAAGCGAAACTGATATGATTTTGTCGCTAATTCTAGCCCCAATCGCATCGGATGGAAAAGTATTGATCACTCCAGAGGACGGAGCTGACCGGTCATTCGAAGTCCGCATCACTCAACTCCAACTAGAACAAGTCAGTTTTCAGTTCATGCATCTATCATCGCACATCGTACTCAAAAACAAACAAACAAAAATTCAAATTGTGTTTGGTTTTAGGACACTGGAAAGTCGACCATCGATCCATTATACCCTGGCCAAACACTGATCGATTTGAATCGAAGCGGAGTAGCCTTGATCGAAATCGTCACCGGTCCAGACCTCCGGTTTGTCACCAACTAACCCACCTCGAAAAATCAATCCTACTTTTCACCGATCTTGATGAACTCATCCTTTATATATCAATTATATTAGAACTGCAAAGGAGGCCTCGATCTTTGTCCGAAAACTGCAATCGATTTTGCGGTTTGCTGGAGTGACTAAAGGGAACATGGAACAAGTGATTCTCATTACTTACCCTCTAGTGGCAGTAGTAAAAAACCTAATCAGGCAAAACCTTTTTCAGGGATCTTTGCGATGCGATTTGAATGTGTCAATCAGTCAGTCAGAGAACTCGACGATCCAAGGCTCAAGATGTGAAGTAAAAAATGTGAATGGATTCGGACACATCGAGCATGCAATTGGTAACTAAAGATCCCCTTTCCTGACGATACCTTCTTCTTTTATACTTCCCGCCATCTATCCAGATTTCAAACTTACTTTTTGTGGGGGATGGGAGTGCAGATTTTGAGATCTCAAGACAGAGAGCCCTGGTGGCCGAAGGACAGCGGGTGGAGATGGAAACCCGAGGGTTTGATGTAGCTCGCCGTCAGACGTTCAGGTTACGAGATAAAGAGAGCCAGACGGATTATAGATATCTTCCAGACCCAGACCTCCCGCCGATAATTTTTCCACCAGTTGGTCAAGCTCTCTCTTTTTTTTTCTCCTTGTTCGCAATCCAGATTTTCCCATAATATTTCAACTGACTGATGTAACCCTCCGCCTTATTAGGCGATCTTAGAACGATTGAGAAATATGGTGCCCGAGTTGCCTCATCCCATGGCAAGACGTCTTCAAGAGTCTTATGGCCTCAGTAGGACGATCGCTGAAGTTTTGATGATGATCGGCTCAGAGAGGATCGATCATCTGGCTGACGTAGGCTGTGGTGTGCGATACTTCGAGGCTGCAATGGACGCGAGCTCTGTAGAAGTCGAGGGGAAAACGATGGCTAACTGGTCCGTTTTCGAAAAAAAAAAAAAATCAAGCTGAATTAATAATTAATCAATAAATTTCTATGCTCTTACAATGCAGGATCGTCCACGAGTTGTTGGGCTTACTGGCTAAATTTGAATTGCGATTTGTTGATTGTCCTGTCTGTCCGAAAGAATTCGGCGAATTGGTGGGACGTGTATCGAACGGCACACTACTTCGTATGTCCCCAGCTCTGACTCGACCAGAAAAAAACAACTAAAATTAAATCTAACATTTTTTTTTAATCATTTAGGACCGATAGCACGTGAGATTTTATCTGAAGCGATCAAAACACCAACGATCTCATTAAAAGAACGACTCGAAAAAAACCAAATGAAGAGTCAAAACAACAAGGAGGAGGGCCGAGATCTGGAGTCTCCAGTGATTAAGAAATTAGTCCAAGAGATCATGTCAGAGATGCCCAAAGAGGTCGAATTGATCCGAAATGGACGGCCCCAAATCATCGCTAAACTGGTCGGCGAAGGCATGCGTAGGTCCCAGAAATCTGTCGATCCTAGGCTGCTTCGGACAGCTTTTGAAGAGGAACTCTTGCCACATTCATCTGCTCAATCTTCGTGAAATTAGTCATTTACAATCAACTTTTTTGAACTCTTTTTTTCATTCTAGCTATGCTTGTCATAGGTTTAAAGAGTGAACCAGACAGAATAATGAATCACAATGAAAAAGAAAAAAAATAATGCTGTCGTTGGTGATTTGTGGTAGATTATACCCATTTGCCGTGGTGACTCTTAGGTATACAAACTCTTTCTGCCCCTGGAACCCTTAGAATCTTTGTAATACATACGACAGTTTTCATTCTAGCTTGAGCATACTCCGCAAAGATGGGTCTTGATTGGTCACAAATTCGACGTCCCGCTGAAATTTAGGATCTTTTGAACATTCCAGACATGTGAGGGCTTGGAAGGGTGCTCTTTGGGTTGGGAAACGATTTGCAAACCCACAGCTACATCACACCCCTCAAGTCTGTGTTGCCGAAACTCAAAATTAACTCAGGAGTCTGTGTATCAACTGACCGGTCGGACAAACTCTTCCGGAAAGTCCACGGATGGACCTTGCCGACCAGTTCGGCCGGCCAGAGGTGACTGGGCTGCGGAAGTTGCCAGACAAAGTCCGTCCGAGGACGGCTGAATTTGCCGGACAAGTCCGTCCGAGGCGGCCGACCAGAGGGGAATGGGATTATCAGCTGCGGAACCTGCTGGACGGAACTCTCCGACAAATTGATGAAGTCATGCCACTTGACCCACCTCTTCAAGACAGCTTTCATCCACGCAGACAAAGCTTTTGATGGATAATTACACTTGGGCCATTGGGATTGGCCAATTTTAGTGGGTCTTTTCAGTGGTCCTGGCAGTGACGTAGGTGGGTACCCTAAAGTCTCCATATTCGGATAAACTTATAGGGGGGTTGGCTTGTCAATCCAACTTGCATACATAATCAGCTTCCTGAAACCAAACCCAAGAACAGGCAAGGTTGTTTCAGATCTTACTTGGTGGCTGTTGAAATACATACAACCCAATTAAATTATGATGCAGAACTGCTACACAACACAGCTCGGATGTTACATTTCAATTACATAAAAATGCAAATTATCGTGTTCAATCAAACCAGATCATGGATTGGTTTCATCATGAAATTACTACCATATCAAGATAATGGTTAAATGGCTGGGACAGAAAATTGAAACACCTTTCACAGACAGTCTCTTGTGGTCAGAATTTGCCTGTCATTTTCAACTTCTGTCACAATTTTGAAGCAACAGTTTCTGCATTCTGATTTTTTTCCCACCAAGTGAGGTCTGTTTGATATATAAGCAAGATAGTTTTTCCTTCAGGGATATCCCATTTTTGTCTTCAGCCCCTTGGAATAAAAAAAATACCATTAGCAATGATTTTTTGCTCATTAAAGTATCCCAAACTTGTAGGGTTAGCTGTTCTGTGCTGCTTGAAAGCAACTAGACCAACCCCTATAAATGATATGATAGAACGGGAAGGTTCAATAAAAGATCATGAGCTGGCTGAAGGGGGTATGTTAGCATATATTTGCATTCAATTAATTCACCAGACTAACATTAATTCCCCATTTTCTACTACACCAGTCACCCCATTTGATACAGAATGTAACACCAAGGGACAAAGTAGTCATAATCCCCAGGATGATCATTGGTCATCTCCTACCCTCACAACCTTGGCAGAAGGTAAACTCAAAGATTCCCCTGAAGAATACATTGAAGAAATTCTAAGTCCAGTAAAAATCACAGGATTTCCCAGAAAACGTAAGTTCTACACACATGCATATCCATGAGAATAATTCCCACAACAAGTGAATTGGGAACTCTTCTTGATCCTTGATGATAGGTACAGAGCTTCCAGAATCTGAGGAAGAAAGAAAATGTGAGTGTATTTGTATCACATGTTTCATCACCCTCTTGATTAAATGAAACTACTGACTGATCACAACTGGTCAGTTCTCATAAAGCAAATGAACAAGGAGTTCACTAATCTAAAGAAAGAGGTGGATGGTGTCAAATACTTGATGGATAAGAAAGACTCAAGATCATTTCAAATTGAAAAAACATTGTTCAAGCAATATGCCCCAAAGTTAGACGATGTCCATATGCAGCTTCCTCTGCTTATGAGAAATCGTATTGCTAATTTGAAAGGGAAAAAATCAACTATAAGCATTATACCCCAAATGAATGACAAGCCTACCAGCTGTAAAATCAGGCACATTGATAAATCTCAGACTGATGAATCCCTGTCCAATTTTGACACAACAAAAAAGTGATTTGAAATTATTCATCTGTCTCAGTTGAGGAGGAAAGGTTATCAGTATCAATTGATGAACTAATTATTTTTCTTTTTCTGTTGATTTCTTCCAGATCCAGGGAAACTCCTAACAATGAAAAAATTATGAAATTGGATCATGATGGCAATGATGAGAATGGATCTTCAACAGGAAGTACTGAAGACCAAACTCTAGATGAAGATTTGAGCAAAACTATTTTACAAAAGCTGGGTAAGGACTTGGCAGAAGATTTGACAGATGTTATAATTGGAAGTAGTCCCAAGAAACAGCAGCAATACTATTTAGAATTTCCAACTCACAAACTTGGATTCCAAACCCTTCATTTCATGTATAGGAATCATTTGATTTCTGAAGAGGATTTTGTTTCTTTATTCAGAAAAGAGTTTTTGGATGAAGCTGCTGAAAATATGCACCATAGTCATGTCTATGAAGACTCACACACCTTTGAGATTGATCATAGCAAAGATTGCTTGAATATATTCAATTCCTGGTATGGATCACCAGCTAGAGAGATGTTTTCTGGTGAGTTTTATTTTTTCCTGTTAATATTCTAATCGTTGTACTTGAAAAACTAAATAATTTTTCTCTTTGATTCAAAACCACAATTATTTGTAAAAAAAAAGTTCTTGAGCCCAAACAAAAAAGAATGTTTTCATTCTATTCAGTTGCATTTGTTTTCAAGAAATACATCAAATTAGGGGATTTTTACAAGATTCAAGAGTTGAAGGATGAGATGAATGATTTTTATGAGACTCTTTTTCAGGATAGTCAACTTTTTAATCAATTAGAAGAACTTTTACTACAAAACTCAACTCAAAAGCCATACATCAACAAGGAAATTGTTGAAAAAGAACTCAAGAGCCTATCTGAAACTTTTAAAAGGATTGGAGGTATTGATACTTACGGAGAATATCAACATGAAATATCAGTTATTTTTCAAACTCTAAGATTTATTAAAGAAGACTACCCTGATTTGATTATAAAATTAAAGTTGAATAAACAAGAGATATTTGGAAAGAGATATGATTTGATGTATGAAAGTAGCAAGTTTTCTGGGGAACTGAATAACATAAAAATTGCATTAGAGATGAAATTTTGTAGTTGTGAAAAAAACATATGGCCCTTGAATGGTGAATTGTTCCCAACCAAAGATAAAACAATGAAACCGGTTGATGAATTGGAATACATATCTAATCATCTAGACAAAATTCTCTCTCAACATAAACAGAAGATTTCTCTCATTCTGAATGGTGATCCAATCAACAGATATTGTGATGATCAAAGAATAACATATTCAATTCTACTTCTGAAACAGAAGATCAATGGTTTAAAAATGAAAGAGGCACGAAAAGAAAAAGTTCTTAAGAAACAGCCAAAGTAGCAGTTTGGTGGAACTGTTCTTTTTTTCTTATTCTTTTAGCTTGAGATCTATTGGGATTTTTGGACCCTCTATTTTTCAAATTATTCCCACATCTCTTTCAACCTTATTTGATCTATCTGTCTTTATCATCTGAAATAAAAAATCAATGTTCTGGCTATCTTTATTTCTTCACCTTATTATATTCTGCATGTCTTGGTTGTTATGTCTGGCTTTTTAGTCTCATTTTAACTCACATTGAGCCTCTGATATTGCTTTGTTGTTCTGCTTCAAATCTGATATCATTCATTGAATACTGATTGTTCCATCCTCTCCTATCCATTTTAACATTTGCATTTTCAAGTACTCCATTGTAATTGGCCTGTTGCATTGCAATAAAAATCTTTAGGGGGGTTACAATAGCTTCTTCACTTACAGGGAAAAAATTTAACACTTTCAAGAAACATCTGAACATGTCAGATCAAAAATTTTAACACCTCAGGCACTGTGAAAAAATCTCTGCAAACTGGTGGCAGTTGACATGCAATATTAGGTGGTTTTACAGTTGAGTGGAAGAAAATTGAAAAACATTTTGTAAGTCACACTCATGCATGGAGATTTTTGAACATGGATTTCTACTAGATACATATACAAACCTTATTGAGTAATGGGAGCTGAAAATACATTCTTTGTTGTGCAGATTGACTTGCAAAAGCTTTTGCAAGGCATTTTAATTCACCTCTGAATCCCACTATTGCAAAGGTGTCTTTTTAATATTAAATGCCAACTGCTGCCAGTTCAGCAAGATTTTTACACAGCGTACCTAACATCACAAACGAGCATACCTAACATCACAAAGGAGCATACCTAACATCACAAAGGTGTGAGTGAGCAATACAACACTTGCTCCCATTATGCTTTGATGGATTAAAAACATCTCTGCAACCTTTAGCCAAAGCAAAGTTGAATTTTTGAGGCACAATTTTACTGAATTGTATGCTAAAAATGATTCTTTAGCCAAATGAGAAGCAAAAAATTTCACTCACTCTTGTTATTCATTTACTTGGCTCTCCTCATTCACTTAATTGACTCTCCCAAATGATTTCCTTGACTTTACTCATTCATTTACTGGACCCTTTCTGAGCCACTTGTGATGAGATTTAGTTTTTCTGGCAGTGATGAAAGTTGCAACAATAGATAATGTTCAAGTCTGGATCTCAATGTTTTGGAACCATTCTGGTTGATGAGCAAACTGAGAGTGAGTCCTTGGCCAGTGATTGCTCCTGCACAATCATGTAAGTGTGGAGTATGACACAATATTCCATGATTTCTATTATTCTGATTTCCTCCCACAGCCAGAAGCCAACCTTTGGAACCGCTCAATCAGCTTGCAACACACCAAATTTTGTTCTTCTATCTTTTGATTCTGGCCTTTTGAAGATTGGAAAAATTGTCCTGATAGTGATGTACAGATAATATCTTGCATCAGAGTTGCTTTTTTATTGAAGCGCTTCACCTGGGGGTGAATGTTCTCCAAGTTTGTGTCTCCCCGGTTCAACTCGACTGCGCATTCGTCATTGGGGGGGTGGATGCTGTGCGACTGCGATCGAGCTGGGCGATGACGACATGGCCTAGGACGTCGATCGAGGACTCGCAAGTGTCTACACCAACCAAGCAACACTCACACTGCACACCTGCTTCATACATCCCATCATCCACACAAGTTCCAACCTTCTCCTTCCTTCCTATCATCAAGATGGCAAGAAGATATGACTCGCGTGAGTAGACAGTCTCGAAGGATCGGAGAAGAAACCCAAGAGAAATGAGTATCTGCGGGACCGAGCGGCTGACCCGGTGACTCTTATCCTTCAGGTACCACGATCTTCTCGCCAGAGGGGAGATTATATCAAGTAGAATATGCCATGGAAGCGATCAACCATGCCGGGACGGTGATTGGGATCCTGGCCTCTGGAGCAGCAGCCCCGGCACCTACGGGCGAAGACCCCAAAACGACGACGACGACCGGCTCGGAGGATGTGGCGATGTCGGATGCCAGTCCGGCGGCTACGAAGCCTGTCGAGCCCGTCGCCATCAAGAAAGGAAAGAGACGGACTGGGATCGTGCTTGCCGCTGAGAAAAAAGTGACCAGCAAATTGTTGGAGAAAGAGGAAGGAACCGGAGAGAAGATCTTCTTGATCAACGGGTATCTCTCGAGCCCTGGGATTATCAATCTTCAAACCCTCTACTCACCCCAGCTTGTCTCTCATTTTCCTTAGAAACTTATTATCGGGAGTTGCAGGCTACACGGCCGATGCCAATTCTTTAGTGAACTACTCGCGTAACGTTGCCCAAGTCAGTCCGGAAACTAATGACAGTGAAGAAAAGCTGGGAACGGAAAAAACTGAACAATAAAAACCCCTACTCCGATCTGATATTTCAGGGACATTTGATGTCTTACGATACTGACATGCCTGTAGAACAAATGGTCAAAAGACTCTGTGATTTGAAGCAAGGCTACACTCAATTTGGAGGTTAGTGTTTTCATGCATCGATCATCTATCTCTACCCCATTCCCATTTGTGACGGTTAGTTTAATTGACGCGTGATGTGAGTTTAGGACAGCGTCCGTTTGGTGTTTCTTTTCTGATTGCCGGATACGATCCTCATCATCAATTCCAAGTGAGTCAATCTATTCAGAGTTTTATAAAAAGAACTCTAGACTGCAAACAGATACCTCAAAGATTTACTGACCTCTACAACTTATACATGTTATATATCCAGTTATATTCAACCGATCCATCCGGAAACTACGCCGCTTGGAAAGCAACCTGTATCGGAAATGGGAACTCAACCGCAACCTCTTTACTCCGACAAGACTACAAGGATTCGATGGATCTAGACGAAGCGATCGTTCTGGCACTAAAAGTGCTCAGCAAGACGATGGATGACACAAGTCTCAGCTCGGATCGAGGTCAGTTGCTTTTTCCCCCATCCTGTTCTATCCCCGAACAACAAGAGGGGCTCGCTGATTGTCTTGGTCAATTCCTCTGAACTCAAAAACAAAAACAAAAAAAAACTTGTCAATTTAGTCGAGTTCGCGGTGATCTCTACTGATGAAGAGACCGACCAACCTCATGTACGGATCTATAAACCGGCGGAAATCGACGAGCTTTTGAAGGCTCAAGGGTTGACCAAGGTCCGTTCATTCCCCTGAAACCATCAAGCTTCCTACTTCGTTCGAAAACCCCAGACTCTGATTCAAGCCATTATTTTTTTTTCCCCCTCAATTTGTTTGCTTACGTCTCACCACCACCAAAAACACAAAACACCTCTTGGATCGAAACTCAATGCGATCGATCGACTTATGTTCGATTTCCTTCCTTCACACTTTCTTACATTGGATTTTTCTCTTCCTTTTTGTTTGTAAAATAGGTCCCAGAGTCAGAAACAGCCATGAAATCGTAACCGATTCATCCCCTCTCTGTAACCTCCTCTAATTCTTCCCTGATATTTTTTTAAAAAAAAAAAGATGTGTGAAACAAAAAAAAATGAAGAACAGAAAACAAAGAAAATGATGGGGTTAGGTTATGTAATAATATTTTCGAGTTGTTGTTGTTGAGAGGTTTACAAATTCAAGCTCTCTTCTGATATCTATGACCTGATGGACTTGTGTGGATCATGGACACGGACAGTGTCAGATCCATAGTTAAGAGAGCTTAAAAGAAGGTTGCGTGTCCTTGATGTGCAGGCTGGACCATCAAAAAAAAAACAAGCCAACAATAAGTCCAGCACGGTTAATTCTCATACAGCCTCAAAAACTTAACTTTTTTGAGTCTTAATTATGGATTATTAAATGTATTTCATGTATTTTCATTTTCTTTCTATAGACAACAACAATGGTTACGTAAAACCAACATTGCCAAAAAAAAATCAATTGTAAGCATCCCTTTTTTTGGTGCCTTCTTAACTTTTAAGCTCTATGTATCCCCAGGCCCCACCACCCTTCACCTCTGTCCTGCTTTCACCTCAAACTTTGTTTATTTTTCGATACAATATTCTTTGAAAATGTTAGATATACATACATATATACATGTACAAAAAAAAACATATTATAAGCTGATGACTTCCTCTCTGCACGCCGCTAACAAGCAGACGAAAAATGACAACCATGTACAGTGGGTGGACCGTTATTTTTGGCTGCCTGTTTTGGATTCTACAGCTTCAAAGCACAAACTTTGAGTCACAAGACTTGGTGAAGTGGTGCAGAATAGGTCCCAGAAAATGAATATGAAAAAATAAAAACAAAAAACAAAGCTTCAAAATTTGGGAAAAATAAAAAATAAACTTGTTTTTTTTTTCAAAAGCTTTGATATTCATTTTGGGGGAATCAGAGTGCTGAGAGAAAGAAAGATTGGGAAATGAGAAGAATGATTATAAATGAAAATTTTGGAAAACCTGGTTTTCAGATGGCTTCAAACAGCTGTTGAGTGGGGCATTCCCCAGTCCACATTGCAGTAAAGAACTAGAATTTACTGTTTTGGATCCAATCTGGACAACCAACCTGGCCAAACCTTTTTTGGTTCCAATTTTTTTTTTTCATTTATAATCATTCTTCCCATGTTCCCCTCTTTCTTTCTCTCAGCACTCTAACTCCCCCAAGATGAATTTCAAAGCTTTTGAAAAAAAATAAAATTTTATTTATTTTTCACCAATTTTGAAACTTTGTTTTTTTTTTTCTTTTTATTTTTTTCATATTCATTTTTTAGAACCTATTCTGCACCATTTGACCAAGTCTCATGACTTCAAGTCTGTTTTGGAGCTCAGGAATCCAAAATAAGCAGCCACTTTTCACTGTCTACCCACTGTCTACCCACTGTACACCCACACCCACACCCACATCCACCCACCCACACCCACCCACCCACAGAAAGACAGGCAAAGTAAACCACTCAAGCTTTGATTTCCCCCAAACCAAACACCAAAAACCAAAGACAATACAGATAAATACTGAGATAAGAGAGAGAAGAAAGAAAGAAAAGGGGGGAGTGTTGAGAGCAAGCAGCCGGATCCCTCAACCATACCAATAAACCCAAGCAATCTCGTACTCAAACATACCGTACCCAACCAACCAAAGGTGAGAGCAACAGCAGCAGCAGCAATAATAGTAATAGTAATAGTACTAGTGATAGTAATAGTAATAGTAGGACAGATGAACAAAAAAAATAAAGAACACATTATCAAGAGTTGGAAATACGATCTGAGAAGATCATCTACATCGTACAATCAGGGATCACAGAAGGAAGTCAAGTCAAGTGAAGACAAGTTTTGTTTTTAGGAAGGCTAAAAAATAAAAATAAAAATAAAAGTAGGTGTATGTGTATGTGTATGTGTATGTGTGTGTGGATGGGTGGATGGTGAGACAGGTGGGGAGGGGGGGATGATCAAGAGAGCTTCAACGGGATCTGAATCCTAGCGCGATCTGCAGGATATATATGTTTATATTTGCTCGAAGACGAGGAAAAAAAAGAGAAGCGTCCACTTATGTTGGTTTTCAAAAGCAGGCCCAGGGCAAGAAGAAATGCTCCCAAGTCGACCGCCGATCTCCCGTGAGTAAATTCATGTCATGTGTTGGTATTTTTTGTGTGTATTTGTGGGGTTCGGATTGAAGCGAGTGAGCAGAGGAGGTGGGGATCGATCACAGCCCCACCTTCAAAGTTGATACGGTCTATTGGGGATAGTGGCTTGTGGATGACGAGGCCCTCGGTTGATGGTCGTTGTTATTATTGGGATATTGATTGTGATGGGGCGGGGGGTTATTAGCAGCTCTAGGAGGATTGTAGGTTTGTTGTGGCTGCGGCTTAGTCGAAGTAGGTGGGTTCTTCTCCCTGTTCTTTCCTCGGTTTCGCCTTTTGATGACCCCTGTGAGACGAGAAGAATCAAAAGATGAGGTCAGTCTTTGGCCCCCTCAATCTCTCATCAATCGAAACGATCGAGATTGCAATGTTTTCTATTTACCTGTGCTTAGAGCCGCCGGCCTGGGTGTACCATGCAAGTTAACAAAAAGTCCACATGCGTTACATAGAGGTTTTCCCTCGGAGTCTCTTCTCCATAATGGAGTTTCCTAAATCACCAAGCCAAAAAAAAAGGATCAGATTCAAGGACAGGACACTCAACAAGATAGGATTCTTACAGTAGTGTGACAATTCAGACATTGGATATTAGCGTTATTAGATTGTCCACTCGAGGTCGAGGCGTTATTGTTGTTGTTGCTATTGCCCAAGTCGCCAGATGAGTAAGGCAATTGTTTGGTACGTTTGCGAGCCTCACCAATCGAGCTGGTATGATTGCTCCTTCCGCCACTAAAGCTAATCTTAGTTGGCGCGTCGTCCGCTGCCAGTTCCTTCTCCATTTTGTTTTGCGCATTCGCCGTATTAATCCGCAGAGCAAGCCCACCTCTGCTAGAAGCTTCGCTCGAGCTACTGGTGCTACTAGGACTAGAAACCATACGATTGACCTCAGGCTTCTTGGTCGACTCGACATTGGCCGGTTGTACAGCCGTTGGAGCCACACTGCCTTGGAGCCACTGGCCACGCTGATTGTGGGCCAATGGCGTGCTGTCAAAATGGTCTAGTTGAGTCAAGATATCATAGGGTGTAATTCGATCGACGATCGAAGCACCGTCGGTTGGGAAGAAAGGCTGTAGATTGCTATTCTCCGCGTCCTGGAATGCGAGATTATCTGAAGAGTTCGAGTGGGAGCTGAGTCGAGAGGACTGGAAGGGATTTTTAAACTCGGTTTCGTTCGAATCATTCTGGGATAAAGTCGAGCTCAAGAAGGCGAAGTAATCTGGCTGATTGGTAGATCCGGTCTGCACCTGCTTATAGGAATGAAACAAATTTTGACAATTGTAGTCCTATTAACATCTGCTCTCGAAAAGTTGAAAAAAGGGGGGGGGGGGCTTCTTGCTAACCTTTTCACCGCCTGAACCATCGAGGCCCGCCCGATACTGACCCTCACGTGAATCAGTAGCGGTGTTAGGACGAACCAAGGACTCGTTGGTTGAACAGCTAAGATTATCCAAGCGAGCCGGTGACCGATCTCCCGAATCGGTAGCCCGTTTGGGTTGATGATGCTGCTGAGCCAAAATTTCATCGAAACTCGTCTTTCGGACCAGCCTAGGAATGTACCCATATTCAGAATGCGCGTTGGCTAGGTCGGCACGGTCTTGCGTGAGACCGGGTACCGATCCCAAGAATGAATGCTGAGAGGGCTTGATAGGAGTGTGCCATGCACCGAATTCAAATTCACCAAGTGGGATTGACGAAGATGATTGAAAGAGTCCGCATGATGATGCCAACGGGCCCAAAATATCAAAGTTGAGATGGTTATGTTTTTCAGCCAAGCTCTGATATCCATTTTCCTCAGATTGTTGGGCTTGATAAGAGCCGATCAACTGCTGAATGATCCCATGATGATAAGCATCATTGTTGGGGATGCCACTGGAGCCAGATGCCCCAGCATTCTGCTGATCACTCAACTCTGGGAATAAGCTGCTCGGAGGAGGCGCAAAAGGTCCTGACTCAGGCTTGAGACGCTGATTCATGCCACTACTCGAAGACTCTCCTTTCGAAGAATCTCCTTCAAAGAGATGCCCGGCAGTCAAAAACTCGGGCCGGAGTTCCTGAAGCCGAGATCTTGATCGTGAGTCTTGGCGCCAATCCGTATGGGTACGGGAGCGAGAACGACTATGGGGTTTCCAATCCCTGAAATATTTATTTATAGCAAATAATAAAAAAAAAGCTCTCGATCAGATTGAGGCTTTAACTAGGTAATCTCACATAACGCAAGTATGAAAACGGGAAAGAAATACAACAACAGATAGGAATACAACGAAAAATAACAGCAGCAGTAATGGATTGTAGTAAGAGGCTTTTGAGTGCTCACATATCAGAAACCGCAGGACTACGATTTAGATTGGTACACTCCTGCCATCGTCCAGCAAGGTTACAAGCCGCGCGGCGGCCACCTTCAATTTTGCGACCTCTTTCGAGGCTGGGCTCTCGGCAGATTTGTGGATTTATGTGGGACTCCAGCTTTATGGTGGGTCCTTCTGTATGTTCGTTGATCTTAGATAGCCTGACAGGTTGGGGAGTGTTTCTCATACCGCTGCGAAAGGCCTTGTCTGATGATGGTTCGTGAATGGGCTCGTTGGACTCGTTGTGATTTTGGGTAAAGTTCGAGGTCCTAGTGGTAGCCCCAGAATTATCGGTGGATAGGTTTGAATTGCTAGTTTCCTTGGGCATCAAACTATCTTTCCACTCGTGAGAATTGAATCTTTGTCGGATTTGGTTGACGTCCAAGCCAAGCTCGGTCAGTCTACGAACGAGGCTCTCAAGTGCATCATTCGTTGGTGGTCTTTCATCTCGTGGACCATAGAGCTGCCAAAGTTGAGCGGCAAAGGGATCATGACTACGTAGAGTGCCACTAGCAGACCGATGTTCGTGTGCTGAGCTTTCGTCTGCGGGTGCTAAGGAAGACCAAGAGGAGTAGGGAGAGGAAGGAGAGAAGGGAGAGTAAGGGGCACTTAGAGGCGACTCCAGGAAGGTGCTCGGTTCCCGGAGAGGCCAGCAAGAGCGATCAGAGGTTGGAGGTTGATTGGCCCACTCGGCACTCGTTCTTTCATTCGGATGACCTGCCACGCCATTTGAAACATAGATTGCATCCTCGGTCAGCTTACGAATGGGCTGTGAGCTATTATTGTCAGTTGGAGGGATCGCGTTGTTATTTGGATGCCATCTAGTATTAGCTTGAGGTAGGATGGTCTGGCGAGGGTTGAAATCGGCTTGAGTAGAACGAAGGGTGAGATTATTAGAATAATTATCACCGCCTGGAGTCGGAGCACCCACGGTCGCATCAGAGGATGATCGCGAGGCTGAGAATAAGGAAGGCCCCCCGGAGCCTGGTCGTTTGCCCATCATCGCAGCAAAGAACATAGAAGAATCGCAGTTGGGCGGAGGAGACTGGTGGGAGCTCAAGCCCTGATGGGCTTCAGAAGTAGGATTGCGGATGGGATGATCAAGATTGGATAGGTGTGAGTTTTGGATGGAGAACTGAGAATCAATCTTATCATTAGGCGGGTAGCTCTGAACTGGCTTGGTTAAGAAGGGAGCCTGTGGATTGTTGGAGTGGGATGAATCAAGGAAGAGAGAATTGTTTCTTCTACTTGATGAGGCAGCCGAGCTGATCGTCGTGAACGGGTGACTTGGATGATGAGCGGCAGATGAGTTCGTAAGAAAGTTCTCAACTGGATAGCCATTCTCAAGTCCGTGTAGGGGTGAGGAGGGTACTGAGCCGAAGTGGTGCGTATCCGGATGAGAGTTCCATCCACCAAAGTGGGTGGGTAGACTACTGGGACCGATACCGTCGGGGATCTGGCCGACTAGATTTGAAAATGGGTCGGACTGATCCTGATGGTAGAGTGAGGACGCAGAAGTGGGGATCGGAATGCGGTTAGTGGTTGTTGAGGACTCGGTGGAGATGATGGCAGTGCTCGGGAAAGGTTCTGTGTCATGAATTGACTGAGGGGATGCCGAGAGGTTGAGGATCGATTGTGTTAGCTCAGAGGGGCGGGTGGTATTCTGCTGGGCTGATAGGTTATGGTGGTAGTGTGACTGAGGATGATAAGTGGAGTTGAAGTCTAGTCGTGTGCGTTGTTGCTTGGCGGCTTCAATCATCATGCTGAGCGAGAGTTCATGCCCGGTGAGTTGAGTGCTACTGCTGCCGCTGGGATTGTTCCCAGCTGGGGCAGGAGCACCATCGACTGGGGCACTACCACCACCACCACCGCTGTCGACCGTAAATCTGCCGTTGCCGAACCCACTTCGCCAGTTGGGTGGATCGGATGAGAGGTCAGAGGGAGAGTTGAGATGGCTGAGGGGCGAATGAGATGTGTTATTGTTGCTGTTGGCGGAGGTGAAGTCGGAGGATTGCTGGTGCATTATTATTGGGAATGGTTGAGGAGACCGATGTGATCGAGGATGGTCGGTCGACTGGTGATGACGAGATTAGATGGAGAGTCTTGGGCAGATGGCTGGTGCTATGATGGATAACAATGATGATATCAGGAACATGGAATCAACCGGTAGTGTGTTATTACCGACACAAGGCCGAGGGCTAGTGTGAACGGAGAGCAAATAATAAGCTAAGATGATAATTTCGAGGAACAGGAAGCAGAAATCGGATGAAGATGGGAGCAGTCCAGCTTAGAGTGAGTATATGCCCGGTGTGCGGCGTTAAATATGTAAACGGGTTAATTAGAGCGCGTCGATTAAAACAGACGGCCGTCGTTGGCTGAAGTCGATTGAAAACACAAGAGTGTTATTTTACTTGAGGATGATGAGCTGTACGGTGATGATGATCTTGGGTGTCTTGGGACAGCTTGAGGCGAATGGCCAATGAGAGAGGTGATAATCTGTGCACCTCCGTGCTATCGGCCGATAAACACACGTGTGCGGTAGAGGCAAGAGGAGAGCCTGAGAGAGCGGAGGGCAGAATGGGCTGTTATATAACAGCATGGGACATAACTGTAGTATAACGGCTTTCCCGGGCGTTCCGATCGGCTGTTTGACGCGAATCGGTAAACGAAGGGCGTTGTACAGAAGCTGAGACGGTATGAGTGTTGATACACCTGCTGCTGTGCTGTGTCAGACTGCAACAACTTTTGGGTACATAAAACAGACCGTCGGTAGACAATTATCTTCTTGCCTGCATGCAGCGAGGGTACGCCCATCTGCAGAAGAAGAAGAAAAAAAAGGTTCTCAATCGAGAATTGAGCACAGTTGAGACGCTGAGCTGTGATTCAAGTCAAGCAAGTTGGTTTAAGAAGGATGCACATGGCTGTTTGTGCTTCAGTCCACATACACCATACGATTTGGCGGTATACAGACTGAAAAAAGTCTAGAGATATGGATCATGCGTAGGATATTTAACCAGGAGAATGTGCGTGTGTGTGTGCGTGTGTGTGTGTGACTGTGTGTGTGTGTGTGTGAGGGTCATGAGCAGTGGCCACTGGCAGAAGGAACAGGTCACAAGTTTGGGCGAAAGTTGTATGTAGGCAATCGCAGTGGCCCGAGGATCGGTTTGAGTCGGATGTGGATCCCTTCTGAATCTGATCGACGCGGTAAACATTGGCGGAGGATTGCAAGATGTACAATTTGAATAATAATATGTACGAACGCCTGGGATATGCGCGTACAGGGTCTGAAACATGCGACATCCTCGAAGAGGCACACGGCGGCCATCTCTTCATATGCATCTCTTGAGTTGGGCAGCAGTGTGTGTGTCTGGAGATATTGTTGGCTGTTGGCGCACGTTAAGATTTGACCAACAAGCCATGCTTAGGGCAGCTCGAGGGTTAGGAAGGGGTTAGGAGGTGCTTGTAGGCACACCAATGCACTCGGGGATGAGGGAAGGTGAGAGGTAGGAAGCATCATGATCACAAAGAGAGAGAGAGAGAGAGAGGAAGAGAGAGAAGTGGAATGGAGGATGACATACCTCTTGTAGCCCACTCACTTATTCGTGAATACTATAACAGCAAGCAGTCTGGACCTGTCCGGACGACCACGATGGACGAGCCTTTCCAAGCGCGACAACACGGTGCGGCGAGGGCAAGCAAGTTGTGGGTGCAAATGGACGACTAAGCTAGTACAATAACGGTACCCGATGTGATCCGAAGTCAGTTTCAGAGCCACTCTCCTCGGGTTGATCCATCAAGGCGAGAAGAATAAACTTAATACCTGTTGACTATAAGTATTAGTACGAGGCGCTGGGATTGTAATCGTTCTGCAAGTAAATAATAGCAATTCCGCGAGTCACAGAGTCCACAAGGAAATCAGTCAGTCACGAATGGATTGTATGTGTTTGATGCTCAGAGAACAGGAGAAATGAAAGACTGACTGTTGATCGACAAGGTGATTACTGTTATGTGGATATCCAAAGACCTTAAGCCGTCAAGGTTAGGGTATATATAATTGGTCTTGACTCTTGTGTATGTATGCAAATCAACGATCGGAGCCGCGGTGATGTACAGGTTAGAGCATAGAGTACAGTAAAATAAGATGTTATATTGGAGTGTACCGAACAGAAAGTCAAAGGATGAGGATAAGAGATTGGGTATCGGGATCAGCTGGCTT